ATTGTCATAGAAGGTATTGAAGATATCCTTGGTAACCAGCCTGGCATCACATTCCAGCACAATCTCACACACTGCGGCCAACGTCAAGGTGATTGCCGGTGTAGGTAATGCAAATTGAACATCCGGGGTGATTACCAGTAAGTGTACTTGCCGTTTGTACTCCTGGTTCATGGCCGGGTCAAAGACGATCACTTCAAAAGGCCCAGTGAGATTTGGCAGCTTGGCCAGTGGGTCTGTCGGGTCAATCATGGGCAGCAGCAGGGCACAAGGCTCCTTGGGTGTAAGCTCCTTGGCCTGTTGGATGTTGCCTTTGGAGACGAACGCAATACCTCCACGGTTCATTGACAGCTGTTGCTTCTGGACAAAGGGAACAGGCGTCTTGTCCTTTGCCACGAAGGGGTGATCTGTTTGGAGTTGTAGGTCCTCCCATTTGCTTTGCTTCACTGCCTTCTTCTTGGCTTTCCACGGATCATCAATTTGCCACGGGTCAACCGCTTGCATAGAGGAGTCTGTACTAGCTTGACTCTCCATACCACCAAGCGACACTGCAGAGCACGGCTGAAGGCTGTGGACCCCTCCGACCAGGAGAAAGAGCCTGCGGATGTTCTCAGCAAAGGCTCTCAGCATAGGTGGCGCTCCAAACGTTCTCCAAGCCTGATCAGACTCAGCAATGACCTGGTCAATAAGCTGTCTTTTCGGGTTTGGAATGTGGAAAGCCTCCGGAAGATGAAGATCAGCAATGATCCACCTGTGTAGAAGCTCCCATCCACACATCCCTGGTCTGGTACGGTTGGTGTCGATGATGATGATCGGACGGAAGCCAAATGGGACAACATAGTCAATGGCGAAGTCATGCCAAAACTGTTGGTCCCTTGGGGGTACTTGCAGGAATACCGCCCGGCATGTGTGCTCCTGTGCGTTGCACACCACTTCAACACCAATCCAGTGGCCTTCACGAAGGGCCACAAATCGTTGAACCTCATCACAGGGGACTTTGACTCCTGCAGCAATCAACGAAAGATCATGGTGCAGGACAGGAGGGCAGAATGACTCGGGCATGAAGAAGCTCATGGCAAACTCAATCTCATCACTCGTAGCCCAACCTGGGTGAGTTCGGTAGATATTGAGCCTCATCTCAAGCCATTCATCAGCAATGAAGAAGATCTCGTGGATGTCATAGATGTGCAAGGGATGGCCAGTTGCTCTACGCAGCAGGTCATCGGCACGACTTGGAGACTCTGTAATGGCCAGAAGAAAAGCATGTCTGCACGCACGTGCAAATTGAACCATTCTGTCCTCTGCCTGAGTTTCTCTCCAGACCAGGTCTGCCTGGTCAATGATTTGCATGATGTGATCTGTGTACTGTGATCGCTGCAGCCGTTGTAGGCTTCGATGTGATTCGGGAAGCCTGGGAGCCCCTGCTCGAGCATAGAAGGTACGGAGAGTGTGCCAAGGCGCCAAGTCATTGTCCTCTGCTGTGCGGATCCAACGATAGGCGTTAGGCCCAACAGGGATGCCCATCACATTGATCAGTTCCAGGACAGCATTCATTTGCCGGATTGTGAGCTGCTCCGGAGAATGATACAAGACTCTCCACTGGCCTTCAAAGAAGCGAACTTCAACGAAGATCCAATCAAAGACAACCAAAATAGGAACCACGAAGTGCTGATAACAGCGCTGCAAATCAACTGGCTGAGTCGGAAGACGGAATTGGGACTCGACACTCGCCCATGTTCCCGGTGAACACCAGCAAATGGATGGCATAAGGACCTGCAGCATATCAAAGTGGAAAGCTACTTCATCAAGAGCCAGAGCTCCAGGTTCAAGGTTGAATTGCAGCAGTCGGGCACGGACTTCATCATTGTGAACATTGCAGCTTGGGCGGTCAACAAGACGATCCATTCCACCAAAGGCAATGGAGACAACATCGTGCACACGGGTATCACTCCATAGCACATCACCATTGATAAGCATGAGGGGCTCATCAGGCCGGCAGACCACTGTGTTGCGCATTGTGATATGACATTGCTGTTCCATCAATCTGTCACACTGTCGAGGCGTGACCGTGCGAGGAATGTGGCAGATCTTGCACCATCTGAGTTCACGCCCACCTGCAAGGAGGACCCATTTGTCAGGATGAACCGGGTCATAGAGACCCTGTACAGCCATCACAATGTGAATACCCAGTAGCAGCTGGCAAGCCTCACGGTTGGCTTTGAAGAAGTGCAGTGCCTTGTCACCTTGTTGGAAAACAGGGATACTCCCTAATCGATCCAGGTTGGCATCATTGATCCACTCTGAAGACCCATCTTGGTGCAGAAGGAGGACTTTGGCAGTGTGCCGAGGAGCTTCATCCTGGCACAGATATTCCACAACGTGAAGAAAGCCAGCTTGTTGGGCCTCTCGCAAGTGATCAAGCTCGGGGTCAGCACCCTCTCCATCCCACGGTTGCGTGGGCGAAAGGATCGGATCATCCGGAAGGTCAAGAATTCCAGTCTTTACCACATGCAGCTCACACAGGCTGAGAGAGCCAATCTTCACATGAAAGCGTCCAACAGGGAGGTTGCACCATCGCATGTCCCCAGGGAGAGCTCCGTCATCCCCAGCAAGACGGAGAAGATGCTCATGATGCGGCCCAAGGTCCAAACTCAGTAAGAATTTGTCAACGATTCTGAGGTTCTCATCAATGTTGAGGGGACCAGTGTTGCATCATCACAGAATCTGACCAGAGCATGATTCACAAGCCACGGTTGCCATGTTGCAATGCTGGGCATAGCCTTTGCGACGAAATCCGCCAACGGTTGCAAAACATACATGTCATCACAGACCCTGACAATCGCATTCTCACTTGTGAGGCGGTCATCCCAACACTGCAGCACAAGGCTATGCTTAGGGAAAGTTTCACCCGTCACCCCTTCAAGTCCAGCCAAAAGCCCGATGAGGCCATGAATTTGCGAAATGGCATTGCCCAATTGATGGAATGCTGACCGAATTGCAACTGGTAGGCCAACAGAATCAGTTGTTCCAAACAATGACACATATGTAAACGGGTCAACGAACGAGAATGTGCCATCACGATGGACAAGGCTTGCAAATAAACCTTTGGACTCAATGTGATCCCGCTGAAGGAGATGTTGGGCAGTGTAGGAAGCACATAGCGTGGGTAAGTACTCACCAGGCTGCAGGACCCTTTGGGCAAGGACACGTTGTTGGTCCATGCTCTCACTCTCCCGTCCTCGTTTGGCAGGTGGGAGAAGGCCTCGGTCTCCATACACTTGTAGTTGAGGGGTGGTCACAGGATGTTCCGATTCACCAGCTCACCTCCAACTTCCGTACCAGGTGGATTGCTGCTTGGGTGAGGAGTGACATAACCAGTCACAGGTGTCGTGAAAGATTTGCTTGTGCAGCAGACCGGCGACTGAACTGGAATGATGTTAAACATCAACACTTCCTCCCGAGCTCCTTGAAGGATGACCTGGTTCTTCAGGCCACCACACCTTCTGATACCCCCCAAGTTGCAATGCAGCAGAAAGGACCCGCCAATGAGGGTGATTCTCAATGCCGTCAGAGCACTCAAACAACGCCAGTACGGGCCGCGCCCGTGCAACATGCTCTATAGCATCCAAGAAGCAGAAGCCTTCGTCCGTGCCCAGTCCAGAATTCTTACCACCCCGACTCCAGCTCGGACACGGGGGCGATAGGGTGAACAGCAAGTTGGACTTGTTGGCTGAGGCCCTGAGGAGAGTGTAGTCGCTGATATCCGCCAGGATCCCATTGATGCTTGCAGTGGGATTGAAGGACACTGGGACAGGACTTCCATGAGCAGTGGAGCCATGGTTATAGTTCCAGGTCTTCATAACTTCAGGGCACCAGTCAACCGATGTGTGAGAAGCAAAGGAAACCCCAATGTTGGCTTGTTGAGCCCACCACATAGCCCGCAACCACCCCTCGTAGGCACCGGAAAAGAGGTGGGTCACATTCCAGGCCAAGCAGCTGTCAAACGAGGAAATATTCCAGACCGGAACAGATTCATCAGCAACAATCGTACAAGGCTCAATGCGGCTCGTCGGTTTGGAGTACACACCAATGAGCATGCCTGGTGCAAAATCCACCCTCTTGTGTTCAACAGGAAGGCCTAAGGTAAAGGTTCCCCATGACACGTCATTGTGCACCGCATCAGTGGTCAGCAAGGCAGTACGTCGTACAGACACCTTCGGTGGTGATCCATCCAGGTGAGAAAGCACCTCACCAAAGAGGACCCAATCTTCATCTTCTCCCCGGCAAGAGCCTGTGGTGGCTATGGACCAGAGAGCAGCCCTGACACTGGAAGCAAGGGACTCCGGTAAACCCATAGTGGGCCAGTCTATGTAGCCTGCTTGCGACACCTTGCCAGCTTCGATCTTCATATCCTTAGTTGCCATGCGCTCCACAGCCAGGTGAGGCTTGTGGTCTGTTGACGTCTCACCTCCACGAGGGCGTGGACAGCAAGACCCCGGCCAACGCGGAGTGGCGTGAGGCGAATGGTCTTGAGCCAAGACGCCTAGGGGGGGAGCGTCCTTGAAGAAGCGTTCGCACGAATGATTTCGTTTGTAGATTTTTAGTAAGACCGTAAGACCTTGTATTCGCCTTTGGTGACCATTCAGGGGTTGAAGTACCAGGTGCTCCAGAAGGGATAGAGCGGCAAGTTTCTCCTGTTATGGTGTTGCATCATACTTACATATACTCTTTGTTGCTAGCATTGAATTTAACACGTGTATTGGCACAGTGGCCTACAGGGAGTATGTGCCAATAAAATCCCCTCTGCAAACCACATCAAACATCGTATGAATGAACCACTCAACGCATCACCTTCCGGCATCATGAAAACTATGGCAGGAGTGGCGCTTTCGGCTTCGCAACCATCCCGACAAACCCGAACATATGCCAGTCCGCGACGTTGATCCATGTTGATCCGAAGAGATCCGAAGCATCCCCTTGGCCCATCCCCAATACCAAGAATCCAATTCTCTTCCTGTGCACTTCGGCCCATTGCCACCTATGGAGAGAAGGCAAGTCTTGACTCGCGCCAGTGCAGCTGTGGGCCAAATCCCTGTACTTCCCATGATAAATACTCAATTAAGCTAATTAAGCTAGATTTTGTACACAATTCACACCAATTTCCAATTGTTACCATGGCCGGACCCAGGCTAACTCTGTGAATTTTGAAAAAATCATGGAAAAACAAAGCAAAAAACAACAACTACAAAAGCAAAAACAAAACAAACAAATCCCAAAAGCAAAAAACATAGCACATGAAAAAACACAAGCAAACAAAAACAAATCCAAAAAGCAACAAACAAATAAAAAAGCAAAAGCACAAACAAAACAAATCCAAAAAAAAGCAAATGAAAAAGCAACATCAAAGAAAGCAAATCAAAAAAAGCAAAAACAATTTTCAGTGGTGATTTTTGTTTTTCCAGATTGTCTTGTCGCTTGTGTGTCTTTTCGTGTTTTTGTTTGTGTGAGTTGTCCTTTTTCTTTGTTGTTTTGTTGCATCTTTCTTTTTTGTGCCTTTTTGCTTGCCCGCATGTTTTTTTTCCCGTTGTTTTTGTTGCTCTTGTTTTCGTTCTTTTGTTTTGATTTTTATGTTTTGTTCGCTTTGTTTTTGTGTGTGTGTTTTGCTTTTTCATAGTGTGTTGATTTTTGTTCGATCTTTTTTCTTTTATTTTTTCATTTACTTTGTTTGTTTTTGTTCGCTTATTTTTGTGTTGTTCGCTTTGTGCTTTTTCATTGTTGTTTTTTGCTTTTTTGTTTTGCTTGTTTTTCGCTGTTTGCTGTCTAATTTGCTGTTTTTTTTGCTTTTGCTTTTTCAATTTGCTTTATGTTTGGTTTTTGGATTCGATGTTTTTGCTTTTGCTTTTTGTAGTTGCTTTTTCTCGTTGTTTTTTTTGATTTTTATTAATTGGAAAAACCATCAGAGATAGCCTAAGTGGTTTTCTTAATCCAACTGTTTTCCAGGGAATCAGGTGACTCTAGAACTCAGACCTTGAGCCAGGACAACTCAACAAAGCCCAAGATTTCGGACCCTGAAGCGTCCATTCCAATCGAGTTCCTGAAGCGTCTGGTGCAATTCCTGGGTCAGATTCGTTTGGTAAATATGGCGGTCTTGGCACCAGGAGACCGAGCGGATGACCTACCTGGAAGGCTCCAGTTCTTGACCCATCTGGATGATTTGGAGGCCGACTTTGGAGTGTCAGGGCTCTGACATGGTCTTACCATCCGATGGTCTGCCTGCAAGCTTTCCGATGCAAGCTAGGCCTGGTCCCGCCCTTGACACTATGTCTCTTCCACCCTTCGTCTGCGTTTCCTTGCTTTTGTATCTCTTCTTGGAATTGATTGTTCAGGTTTGTGATGTTTGTGTTCTCTCTCTGCTCTTCTTCTCCTCCCCCCTTGCTGGCTTTGAAGAGCGTGCCAGCATATGTTTAACTCTCTGATCAACCCTCCTCCGCGTCAAACCCACCAACATCGTTCGCCTCTCCCTAACCAGTCCAACTCCATGTCAGACCCACCTGGAACCTGACTGGACTTTTCTGGGTGGCGACTTCACCAATTTTTTGGCCGGAAGAACAGAAAAATGCAGAAAACGATGGGATGTGTGGTGCCTCATAGGCTTGAGTGGCATCTTCAAGGCGCCCTTGCAGCTGGAAGTCACGCGCTAACTCCTTGCAGGACGTGCGCTAAAAGAAGTACCGCGGGCGATGAGAGGAGAGCTGGTTGCTTGGGGACAGGAGTTTGGAAGAACATCCACCGGTTGAAGCACCGTAAAAGAGTAGGCTCTGTCAACTGAACGCTTGTGTAATAGCATAATATGTAAGATGTTAACATATTGTGATATACCTCTGCAGAAGTAACAACCAACCGCAAGACAAATAGTTAATATCCAATTATGCCAATCCCACACGATTGCCTTGTGATTCTGTAGACTTGATCTCCCATGCTACGGTGGAGTCCTGACGCTTCTCTTGCGCCGCAAATCACAGTGTCGGAGACAGAAAGCAAGAGTCACACAATGTCACACATGCATGTGCTTCGCGTGAGCTAAGAGATTGTTTGCGTTACTGAACTATTCAGAAGTGTGGATGCGTGCTACGTTCCCTCGCTCAAATTCAGACCATTCATTACCCCTCAAACACATTCAAACGTGTTTGACACATCTCTCGAACAGTCGTCAACTCCCCATTCAGACGGTTCACCTGAGCGCTCCATTCTCGTCCTTATTCTCAGGTGAACCGTCTCTCACGGGTGAACCGTCCTCCGGTCGCTCAGCGCCTTCGTAGGGGTTCTCCTGCCGCTGAGCTGGGCAACATCAAGGCTCAAATAGGGAGATAAGTTGTTTCATGCAGCAAAAACAATTACATATAACATATATAAGCATATAATAGCATATATTTATTTGTTACAGTTGTGTGTCTTAAAACCGTTAAAACATCTTCTATGACTCCTCTTGCGCAGTATATCTTTCATGATACTTATATACTGTACTTACTACCCAAACCTTGAGGGAAAACGGGATGAACACAGAAACTTTGTTGTTCAGCAAACACCATCATAAACCGTTGCTTTTGTCTGTACCTTTTGGCACCTTTGTCTGCACCAACTATTATTTAGGGAGGTCTCCGTTTCTCGGAGGCCGGGTTTTCACAGCCGTGACTTCCTCCAGGTCGCAGGCGCCCGCATGCAGGCGCCAATTCAGGCGAACAAAAAAGCCAGGTGACTCATAGCAATAAGTTCCATGTACAGTAACTGTCCATGTAATTCCATGTATCTGTCCATGTATCTGTAACAGGTGGTTCCTACAGGAACGTCTGGTTCAGCACCAGTCCAAAAGCACGGGCAACATCTTCATGAAAAAAACATGAAGCATCTCGAGAGGTGTCCTTCCCATCATGGAAGTAGATATCATCCACGTCCGCTTTGCTCAGTCTTTGGGCATCGCTCACTCGACCCTCCGAGGCAAAGCCTGGATTCTTCTCGAAAAGGCCTGGGAACAAAGGGCATCGCTACGAACGGAGCGAGGACCTGGCCATACTACTGGTAACGAAAAGCTACTAGGAACAAGGGCATCTCTACTAGTAGCAAGGTGCATCGCTACGAACGGAACAAGGACTGAATCGGCCGCTTCGGCTGCGCGGAGCTCTGCGGAGCTGGGAAGGGCAGCGTTTGGGACCGGGGAATGAAGTGGATTCGAGTGGATGGCTGGAATGACTAGAAAACTAGAACTGCTGGCATCAACATGAAATCAAAGTTTGTGCCATTGACAAATGAGAAACTCGAATGTCTCGCTTCCTTGCTTTCGTCTTCATCCCCACGAACCCACGCACGCGTAAACGCGTAGAACCTCCCAGGTTCCCAACCCCTGCCTTGAAAGCTTTGCTGTTCCTTGGCCTTGTCGTCTCGCAGCTTTTGCCGCAAAGCCTCCACGGCTCGGTCGTGGCGTGGCGCCACGTGGCTGCCGCACCAGTGACATGGTGGAAGTGGAATGAACATCTGCTTGGTATTTGGAATTGAACATGGTCATCCCAGTCTCCGGGGCCATGCCATTCTAAGTATGATCGTTTCAGGGTGTGTGTTCTTTCAGTACAATTGATGTTTTCTTTCCGGCACCCCCCAAAAAGCGCTGAAGTGACATGATTCTTTCTCTTCACAAGGGGCACTCGGAGGGGCCAGTGGTTCTTGCATGGTCGAAGCAGTACAAAGATCTACAAAGACCCGGCCAATGTTGCTTCACTTCAGTCACACTATCGCACACAGCCTCTGTTGCCTGCCTCACATGCAAAGCTTTTTTGTGGGACTCTGGGACACTTATTGAACAAAATAGCCAAGACATGTATCAATGCGTGTCCCATGTCTTTAAATACTTTGTTGCATCTTTCATACGATGAAACGCAACCTGATCTAGCCTATGCAATTGCGCACACTGGGGAATGAGTTTTGGAGTATTTTGGAGTGTGGAGCGTTAGGATGATGGCAAAGCGAACCTCCTAAGTGTGACACACAAAGGCCCGGCCCTGATGGAGACCTTATATATCGAGCTGCCAAGTACTCGGTGACGATGCGTTCTCCGGAGCCGGAAGTGGCGGACTTGGCGCCGCCATGGCAGTTGATCAAGATATAGACCCTTTTCTATCTTTTCTATGGCGTTACATTGAAGATCACTGAAGATTCATTCTTCAAGAGAAGCCAAATATGTAAGAATCCACTGCAACTTAGAGCACCCTATGATGATTGAGGTCTTGAGCTACTACGCCTTCAGAAGACTGCCCTGGCCGCCCTGGCCTCCCCCTATCGCTGCTCGACGGACCGACAACAGCCCGCTCACCTCCAAATCTTTCCTCACAGTGGCGTCCTGGGGTGCCACTCCAGGGGTTCGGAACCTACCCTATCATAGTCCTCAACCAGGTCATACTAGGACGAGGTCATATTATATAGGTCATACTAGGTCGTCTGAAACTGATTAAACAAACAAAAACGACTGTTTGGGACGGGGGAGTGTACACATCACCAATTATTAGTACGGTAGAAGAACAAGCTAGGGAATAGGCACACAGCATCTCCAGGACGTTATGCCATCAATATGTGCCCCACATAGTTTATAGTCTATAGTCTATGGTATATATAGAGTTCAAGTGACCATCGGTATAGAGTCAAGACAAATCATGACAACTCATGCGTGGGCTCACATAATCTATAGATATCTATAGATATCTTAGATACAAATGAAACTTGGCTTGAATCATGTTTGATGCTGCATTTATATAGTTGTCCAAAAGGATCGGTGGCCTGAGTCGGCACGAACGCTGGATGCGCCGTGCCGATTCTGCCCCGTTGGGTGATTGGGGATGTACGTTCCATATAGTGGGCATGGGCCAAACAACACCTATTGAACCTAGAAAAGAAATCAAAGAAAAATTGATGCAACTAAGAAACACTTGGAAACATTTTTGTAAAAAACACATACACCCTGTTTCTTCACTGTTCCTCACAGGTGATACACGGCGGTCCTAGGTCACCCAGGCCTCAACAAACACATGCACAGCAGAAGTCACCAATTCAAATAAACAACAACAACAACAACAACAACTACTACTACTACTACTACTACTACTACTACACCTACACCTACACCTACACCTACAACAACTACAACTACAACTACAACTACAACTACTACGACAACTACAACTACTACGACACTAACTCACGTCCGACTTCTTGCCTTGGGCATCAGCTTGCATGCGCGCACCAACTCAAACTCCGCCTCCTTCTCTTCACCCAGCTCCTGGGCTTCAAATCTTCGCCGAATAAACCGACGTGCTGGAGGACATCAGACGTGTTGATGGATCCCTCAAGACTGTGCAAAGAGTACACTCCCTGGAACTAACATGGAAGTGGAGAATGGCCCCGAAAGGAAGACCATGAAGTCCACTACAAACAGATGGTGTTCCACTTCCATGTTACTTCCAGGGAGAGTACTATACAAATGGTGCGACCTTCCAACACCTCATCTGCTGCAGGATATCTTCCGTACTAAACATCACCATCGTGAACGAGTTGCTTCAACCAGACAAACTCGATTCTTAGATATCCAAGTTGACTCTGGCGGAGGGTCAATATGCTGACTTCCGAGCCAAGTCTTTTCATGTCTGACTTCCGAGATGTGTCTCTTTAAACGTCAAGTTATACAAGCTTATTTTTCACCTGTTTGTTTTTAGTGGGGAAACCAATCCCAAAAAAGGCTTTGCAGGTTATCCACTGACTGGGTAGGCTTGCTCAGCTGGCTCAACCAAATGATCTGGGAGTTTGGCTTGAACTCATGCAACACATCGAAATTACCCTGAAATGGCTATGGTCCATGTCCGTGCAAAATCATTCAATGGAATGTTTGCACCTCCGATTGACACTACGCAGTGGTCATGAGGAGTCACTCTGAATCATCCTCATGCCATTGTTGGCCAGCCGGAATCACAAAAGGGCATCTTTAAACATCCCTAGACCCCTCAAACCCATACCAAAGACCTTCTCAGGAGGTATTTGCTTGTTCTAGGGTTCATAGCCCTAGTCTCGGAAATGAAGGAGACACCCTCTGTTCTTCGGACTCGGAAGGTAGCAGCTGTTGAGAGCGAGGATTCCATGCTTGCCTTGTTTAACATTCAACTGAGGTCGTGTCCAGCAATGCCTTGGCCTTCCGGTAGGTGGCCTGGGCTTGACCCATCCGGTGAATGAAGTCAATCAAAGAGGTGGACAGCAAAAAATTGTAATACGCACCAGAATCAGAGCCTGCCTTGACTAAAAAGGACACCATGGTCGCAACGCTATGTGTACGGTGATGTACGGTGTAAGTTGCTAGTCAAGTTGCATCCCTCGCACCACAAGTTCTCAGTGTCTTGTTTCACACTGGCTAGGTCACGGTCTCTAGTTTTTGCTTGAAAAACACATATTTAGGCAAGTGATGGCAAGTGGCAAGTTCTTGAGCACTTTCTGTCACTTATGTAATAGACACTCCAACTCTGCTGCTAATCTATAGCTCCGAAAGAAACACGGCACCCGAATCAAAACGGCCAGGATGGCATACCTACGTGCCCTTTTGAAACCTTGTAAGTTGCCAGGTTTCAGCTTTCCTGGTACTCTTCCTCGAATTTCCCGGAAATCTGCACCTTCGGCCACCATCAATTCCTACTGCCCATATCAAAAACAAAGCACCAGCACCAGCTCTCTCCCGACTCGCCTTGGGATTTTCCGGCTCCGCATCCAGCACCTCCTGAAGTTGCTGAGCGAAATGACTTGTCCACTTTGACCGGACTTGGAGGGTTCTGAGCAGCTCTGTTCGCGTGGTCTTAATGTTGTCTGAATTTGTGTCACGTTGTCTTACCATCTTTGCGGCATCATCTGCGGCCTCTTTGATGCAAACCAAGCTGTGCCAACGATGGACGATTGGACGACTACGACTCGCTGACCTCGCAAAGCTCTAAAGCACGGAAGGGCTCAGTGGGGTCGAGGCGCAAGCACACCAGGGCTAGGTTCCTGGCAAAGATCGGTTCGCATGGAACCCTTTGTGAACCGTGGAGATCAACAAAACCGAAACCACAGTCACAGCCTCCCAGTCTTGACCTTGATGTTTTTTCACCCCTTGAGTCTGGGGCTTTGGAATTTGGTGTGTTGCTGAAACCCAGGCATTCACCTAGTATTTAGTGGATGTTTGGTCCTGCTTTGTCAGATTCCATGTGGGTCCTGCTTCTCAGACCCATGACAAAAAGGACGTTACACTCCCTGGAACTAACATGGAAGTGAACAATGGCCCCGAAAGGAAGACCATGAAGTCCACTACAAACAGGTGGTGTTCCACTTCCATGTTACTTCCAGGGAGAGTAGTATTTCACTTCTCAAACCACATGACGAACGTCGATCTTTTGGTGAAGAAGTCACTCACGGGGCGAGCACACACGCACGGGGCGGCGCACGGGTCATGAGCACACAGCACAATAAATTAGACATACCCTTTCTGCAATGACCAGAAAAGGGTATGTCTAATTAACAAATTGACATTCCCACAGCACCCTTACAGCATCAATTAACCCTTCAAAATCTCAGTACACCAGAATAGGGCATCAGTATGGTTCAGTGTGGCTGTTTGAACAGAAAGTCCAGTGGCAGGCTGTTGGGACTTCTCGTCTAGCTGAGTCCATACTTGCCGAACCACGATCCACCACTGGCCAGTTCCCCCAGCGACAACAGGGTACAATTCTGAAGGGAAGGACATCCCCCCCAAGAAAACAAATGTACAATCATGCGTCCCGGTCATGCACCCTTTTCAGAAAAGGAGTAAGAGCCCCTCCCACGTAAACCTGTTTGGGGAACAAACAACATGAACTGAACTCCATTTTGGGAAGCACGTCATGCAGTTTCCATTCCTGAATCTTCCAACTGTGCAAAGCAGTGTTCTGCCTTTCGTCTATAAAACTAGCCCAAAAAAAGGCATACATGTTGTACAGTTGGAAGATCCAATAGGCATATAATCAACTAATTATTTATCGTTTCCAGATCCTTTCCGAAGAAGCAGGTTCATCTCTCTTTGAATACAAACATCTCTCGCTTCATGTGTCTCACTCGCCGAGCGACAACTGCACGGGTCTCCGCAGCTCTGCGGTCTCGGATGCCAGATCTGGACGTGATCATGGATGCCAAATGGTGGAATAGTTAGTCAATCATCCATGGGTTCACCAGGGCAAGGGTTCGGTTCGCAACCCCCAAAACACCAGTCAGTCAATTTTGGAGGATGACAACCAACATGTTGTTTCGTAGCGGCTAACTCTGCATCGTCCCAAGACAGTGCAGCCTTTCGGGGAAACTACTCTTCTATTGAGAGCCAGGAAAAAATAAAACAACAACACACTATGGACTAGAGTTCAGACACTATGGACGTGCTGGTACGTGCTGGTACGTGCTTTTTACCTGTAACAGTGGATGATGATGGTTAGTAAAGGCCTCGTCCAAAAGTAGTGATAATTGTTTACAGACTGTTGCAGGTAATAGGACAAATCCAACTTATAGAGCTTTAGTGGACAAATTCTGAGCAAATGATCTCCGTACTCACCAAAGTCCTACCTGAAGCGATTCATGGCGTTCCCTTGCTTCGTACGGTGGACTTGAACACGATCACGGCATCACGTCGGAGGTGACGGGACGTAGAGTTCGGAAGCTTCTACCACGTCACACCGATGGTAAGACTATGTAGGACTCATGAATGCTCCAAGGCTCTATAGCTTGAGCCACTTATCTAAAATTAGATGTCCACCCCGCAACCTTTCTCCCTCCCCGTGACGCGCACCCCACCCCACTCCACTCCTCCAACAGTGCACAACAAAAAGAGGCAACTTCTGGGTCTTGATTTTTTGTGTTGTATATTCCCATCTCCAATCACTTCCCATTCTCCAACCTGGCATTTTCGATCACAGTCAAAAGATTGGTATCTTGCGACTCCATCTGATGATAGACCAATGAACCTTCCATCCATGGCACGTCAATCCATTGTACTCACAGGTCATCACCCCGCCTTCCGGCATCTTCTGCGTGATCCTCAAGGCCTCAGCATAGGCCTTGCGGGCACCAGGGAAGTCCTTGCGGGCACCGGTGGGAAAGATCGGGAAGACAAAGCCAATCCTACAAGTAGAGCTGAAATTAGGGCACTGCTGGTATAGTATCAGCCACTGAAACCTGTTGTAGCTGTTTTGTTTTTGGGGTGATTTAATCGCTGCTATATGGTGTTGGAGGAGTTAGATGTAAGCAGTCCATCAATCCAAAGGAATAGGGAGACAGGAATCAAAAGCCTGAGCTCGTGCAACGGAGCCAACTCACTTGCTGCTGTTGGCCCGTTGGCTGCTGGGAGCCATGTGTGACCTCAACAATGATACTGACCTCACCTGCTAAAGTGCGCACAGCACGTTCGACTTATCCATGGATTGTATTGTGCCGGATATATTGTTCAAAGAAAGCACACCGCAGGCTGCAATAATCTGCCCGCACTAGCCCTACCCTGGCCGCCAATCAAAATTGGGGTATCTTCGCAGTCCGGCCACTTCCAACAGTCGAAGGCAAAGATATCTCCTCCACTTTGAACTTCGCATTGCCCTCTTCCTTCAGCTTCCTAAGGCTTTCGGAAAACGTGGCGCGTCGATCTCTTGGAGTCGGGGAGTGCGTGCGTGCCTCCGTCCATCCATGCACCTTCTTGAGGGGGGGTTCAGGAGGTTTCGGGCTTCAGGAAGAGACATGAGTTCATTATAGTCAAATATCATATATTAATATGCCACTGGAGGGCCACTGTCTGGGTGAAGACTTGAAGGTTCACATTGATTCAGATCGATGGATATATTTGTTATATACTGCAGTCGCCCCAATGGAAAGAACGCACATTTGGTGCCTTTCGACGTGCATGCCGTACAAGTGACTCATAGTGGCCACTGGAAGATGGAGGAGATCTCATCAGGAACACCCATGCCTTTCCGAAAAAAAAAAAAATAACATATATATATATACTATATACTATATGTTTCAGCTACTCTCATATCAGTTCATCATTTTTCATCTGATCACATCCTCCAAGGACCCCCTCCCTGAATTCGATGCTTCAATTCTAGAGGTCACCTTAAACCCTTCGCCCAACGCCCAACCGCTGCCCGGCGGTTGGGCCGGAGCGTCTTGGCTTTCTCCAGCCGCTCAGAAGGATCGGTCTTCTCCTCTGAAGGCCGCAGGGTGTCTGGTTCCATGGCTGGGCGCCGCGGCCACCCGGTTCACGGCTGGGGAGCCCGGCGGCTACGAACCGGTGGGGCAGTGGCCGGTGTTCAGAAAGCCAGAGCCAGCAAACAAATGGCCTTTGCTTGGAAACAATGGGTCTGGGCTTTGTCGGGAACCAAGGAAACGGATGAGCTTTATTGCAAACAGCTAATATAGAATCAAATACAGTAGAATACTCTCTAACAGGAAGGTTTTAACTCCTCATCCTTGAAACAACGCTGGATAGGGTCAGCAAAACTGTTCGGACAATTCAGCAAAATCAAATAGTGAGGTGGATTCCAGTTCACTTTTTGGCTTTTAATGGCTTTGAGCTGCTTTTAGCCTATATTTGCTTTATTAATATTTTCCTGGATTTAAGATTGAGGAGCAAGCATATGTCTGTTCATATCAGAAAGGACTTCGAAGGGCCAGGGCCAAGACCTTGGTCGGAATATTTCATGTCAGCTGAGAGCATCGAGTTCTATATTTCTTGAGCCAAAGGCTGAGTTTTGTGGCACTGACAGAGCCGCCAAAGATGTCTCAACATATCGCGCAGGGCCAGGCTGCCAAACAACACAGAACATATTCCTGGCAGTATGTGGTCTTCTGGGCACCTGAAAGACAATCCCGGGGCCCTTTGATCTGACCTCTCTTCAGGTGCCCTCCACCTTCACGTGGACCTCGGTGTCTCCGGATCATGTACAATTACAATGTAACGCCCGGTCGCCCTCCTGTGCAGCTTCCTTCCCACCCCAAGTCAGTCTGCCACGTGTCGCTCAAAGCTTCTTCCCCACCCAGGGGTCAGTCTGCCGCGCGTTCGTTGGCGCTTCCCTATACTCCACAGTGGGACGTCTCGGGCCACCTGGGTCTCCGTGGAGCGCGAATGGAAGGGTTGGTCTGCCAGCCTCGGGTCTGCAGTGTCACGGGTGAGACGAATCTCCCGTCTGCAGTAAGGACCCTTGGACCAGGAGATGTTCGGAGATCTGCGGAAGCCATCGAAGGAAGGACCCAGGTGAATGATGTGAATGGGACATTAAGCAATGCATAGGTTTTGTCAGCTACTACAGTGGGGGGGTAGTTACCCAAAGCCTTTGCCCCAAGTAGGAATTGTCTAGTTCTTCAAAGCGACCTTTTGATCTCCTGGTTGTTTTGGTCACGAACAGGCCTGTTGGACTCAGGTCACTCAGGGGCACTCCAAAAAGATCGGTTACGAACTGAAGAAGCTGGCTCAGGTGACCTATGTGGTCCCACGTGGTCCCCAAATCGATAGTGGCACGGTGTCCACACTTTGAGTGGTCTTCTACCTATTAATAAGGTCTATATATACACGTGTTGAAATGGATCTGTGATGTCCGGAGTCCTGAGGGGAAACCTCCTCAGGCCCAATCAGAAGGGCATGTTTTCGCAGCAGCTGAAAGGCCTCCGTAGAGGCGAAGCAGTGCTGTTTGTCGCTTGAGACATCAAGCATCGCTTGAAGGGGGCAAGTCAGCATCAAATGTGTATCGTATCGTTTTGGGGCCTTTCAAAATATGAACCGTTGGATGGTTCCCTGTGCTGTTCATGCAAAGCAACATGACATCGAAAGAACTTAAGATGGCTGCACTAGGGTTACCAACGATGTGCGGGTGTTGCGACAAATGCCGCTTGGTTCATTCCTCCTTGCTTGCCCAAGCACGACTTCTTGCTGGTGCCAAAGAGGAAGGACCTCAAGGCTCTCTCAAGCACTTCCTAGACTCGTCCCACTCCAACCGCCCACGGAGATTGCAGCTCAACAACGCTAAGCCAGTCGGGTGTCTACTTCTTTCCTGGAGCTTATTGACTGAGTAGGACATCCACTGACACTTCCTCAACAAAAACAACATCCAAAATCAAACACCCCACTCCTCATCCACATGATTCGCATCGAACCGGAAAACTCATTCCTTCCTCTTCGTGGACCTCGGGACCTCGCGTCGCCGTCGAAGCGGTCGAGTTCATTGAGACCCCCCACGAGTGCTCCACATGGCGTAGCCTTACGGGGGAGAATGGTGGAGAATCCTGTTTCGGGTGGGGTGCCTTACTTGTGATTGGTCTATAGTTCTTTGGATTTGACACCTGTTATTTTCTAGTTGTTCATTGTTCTACGTTCTTATCTTAAACACTTATCTTAGAAACCTCATCATACGGAAAATCGGTAGGTTCTACCACTAGTTGACATCAGGCTGTCAGGGAGTGGTGAGGAAATCCTCAGAACCCTTGGCCAAGTGATACCTGTTCTTGCACAAGTTCTCTATTCACAAGAATAGTTGAACCATATTTGAACATATTTGAACCATCAATAGACTCAATAGACAACACATGAAAACAGGTAATTAACTCGGCACTGCTCTGTGCTATCTTTTACAGCTACTGGCAAACATGTTTCTTCCCTCATCACTCTCCACAGCACTCCAAAGCCTGTAAAGGTCAAAACCACCAAGAAACTTGCCTGGAGACCTGAACTTGATGCAATGGGAACAACAACAACAACAACAACAACACGAGAAACCTCAAACGACTCAAAGTCCAAATCCAAAAACGATCAAAAACGACAGCATCCAGTCACCCCTGTTGGTATATCTTTTGAGCGGTGCGTCCCATTTTCATGCACTGGACAAAACGCCGGACACTCGTACGCTCCACTCGTCTGCCTGTAGCGCCGGAGGAAGGTATGCTCCACCAGGCCTGGCACAAGGCGCCAAAAAGATAAATTATATCTGGAACCTGAGCAACCTCTGTTTTTGGAGACAAATTGTATTGTCTTGTCCTATCGAAACAAAGGTCAACTGCTAGGAATATTATAAGTTCAGTATTATGTCATAGTCTAGAGATACTCAAGTACTTACATAATGGACCATCTATGACCAGTGATCTGTGACACTTCAAGCCCTTTTTCTTTAGGTGGCGAGCCCTGTGGGTGGCATGTTCGCAGCTTTCTTTTGGAAGAAAGTCTGTTTGAACAAAAGTCTGTTTCATAAAAACAACAACATAAGCATAGGACGGCATGATAGAGGATGCTCTGCGGAATATGACCACCTGAGACTGTCTGGAACATGGGTGCACGGATGATACTGGCCGCTAGTCGCACGAGATACCACTTTGTGTTTGCTTGCGCTGATGTGGTCGTTTTCAAACGCCTCGAAATCCAGTCAAACAATCTAATTCAGGTCTAGGATGAAGAAACAGGGGGTTCATAAATTAAATGGTCTTAAATTAAACTCAAACGCAATTGGCATTCGATAAATCAAACAGATTCAGGCTTGGCTTCGTGTCCTACAGGCACATGCTCGAATCTTCGAACCCTCATCCATGGGCAGCCATGACTTCATCCCACAACCTTGGCTTCACCCCCAACAATTTTGGCCCCGCTTCCAGTGCAGGTCGTTTCAAGGTCGTCCAAGGATCCAAGGACCTCCAAGTACCATGACGTTCCACACGATGCTACCGATGTAGGTCTGGAAATATGATGAAATTTATGGGACTTCATGTGACTTGGAAAAGCCTTCAAAGGGACGCTTAACCATGTGTGCGCTCATGTGGGAAGCCATATCCCATCATGTGCCATATACAGTGCCAACAAAAATGTTGGCCACAACAAATTGGGCACTCTTTCCAGTGGTCTTTTTCTAAGATGCGTCTCTCAGATTCGTGGAGATATGAGCAGTTCCGTAAACCAAACGGTGAGTATCAAGTCTAGTGCATGCTGTATGTCATTGTCTTGCATCGTCTCCACCCACAAGGACTCTTCTTCATACACAAACTTTGGTTTTAAGTTTTGATGCTCAGAATTTCAGGAATCGAGTCACTGCGGTGTGTGAAAAATGGACGTCATTGCTGTGGGTCGCAACCTGGATCGATTTTGAAGAGTCGAAACCGTGCCCAAGGTGCTGGCAATCTTGAAAGGTCCAGCACTACTCGAGCGAAGCTGATGGGCGATCACAGCGATCACCAAGAACGATCATGTACTACAGTCGTGAGTGAAATCGTTTTGAGGCCGTGCTGGAAATTACAAAAACAAAACCACCTTGTACAGGGAACATGGCATTCTCGACACTACTTTTCCTGCTGTTGGGCCATCACCCATCTTTCTGCCAGTCTTTAGTCGTTCCCTGTGTCTAGCAGTCTATACCATCATTTGCACCAGTAGAGCAACCCAATTTTGGAACAAGCAGCACTCCCTCGAGCAACATCAATTTTGACCAAACGATACAAGTACTTGTTAACCTGAGTGATTAGCATTCTTCGTTGCCATCGCATCAGCTCAAACTTGAAAAGATTGAGATCGGGTCTTCTTGCGAACTTCCTGTGGCACACAGCAAGCCAGCAGCTACGGCTGCAACGCGAGCAACACACTGAGAGTGTCGTTGATGATTTCCATTTAGAACTTTGATGTGTTGATCGACTGGCTACTATCATGTGTGAACTGTTGGACTCAACAAGAAACATGTAGAAGCACCTTAAACTAAGTATGGGGCATATATATATATATATAGTGTTTATAATATTTTGAAATATATAGCGCAAAACAAGACTGAACCTTTAAAAAAATCTATTGGGAGAACATCAACATTGGGTGATCCCCATAAGTCGTCAGGTGGCCACAAGGAAATCGAAGCTCCTTTCAGAGACATTGCTCCATGGAAAGCGTTGGCACCAGGCAGCCTTCAAGCTTAGGGAAGCTCCAGGAATCCAATGATTCTCTCAAATTGAGGGATTGACTGTTGGAAAGGTTCTCTAGGTGTTGACTATTCGATCAACATATCAGGCTTACAATACCGCATTTGGTGGTGCTTTGGGTTCCTGCAATTCACGAGGTTCCAGCTTCTACTACTTGCAGCAACTCTACAAGTGTTCTCTGTTTCGACCAGGTTTCTCATCTGTTTGGCTCCGATGTGGACCCCCGTCACCAAAGAAATCAGCACACACAAGTCACACCTGATTGGTGCTTCGCAATGCTGTTTTCCTCAGGGGAAGAACACACCAAAACATGAGAAAACATGCCCTTGTACGATGACCCTGATCAGGCAACTTGCACCCTCACAGTGATGATGTGTGTCCAATCTTATTAGAAATTGATTCTGAATAGACTGACCCAACTATCTCACTCGTGACGCTAGTTTTCAAGATCCATTGACATGATTTGACATGCATCCATTGTGTAAAGTAGTCTTCCCCTTGTGAGTAGCCCAACCTTGTCGCGGTTCACATACACAAAAGTCTACGCACAAACTTCTGCCATATGTTCGGGTGGAAAGGGGCCTTGTATACACACAAATGTTGCAAGTGCTAAACCTCCGAGACTAAAGGACAAAATGCAACTGCACATTGACCACTGCTATGACAATTGGTTGCTGGCACTCGGGAGCTGGCCCGCTATGAACTTAGCATCTGAAATTTGCAGTACAGTATCTTTGTCTGTACCGTGCAGGCAAAGGCAAAATTCAGGAAATCGACCTGGTTCAACTTCAGGAACCTGTCAATGGTTCATAGCCTCCATTCCTCCATTCCTTCCCGGCCTGGGCCAGCCATTTCCCTTCCTGATGAGCCCCTCAGACTGCTCAGGCCATGACGATGTCCTGGGGAGGACTCGTGGCTCCCTAAATTGGGGAAGGCGAGTCCTCGTGGATGGGGAAGTTGTAGGAGTTGAGAATCCAGGTGGAAAGCCACCACATCACTCGTGGCTCTCCAATCTCTTGCTGCAAGCCACCTTTTTCAATTGGCTCAAATTTGCATGATTGAGTAACTATTGAGATTTATTGAGTGTGCGCTGGTCAAACAAATTCAAGATTCAACACCTTTTCATTAAAAAAAACATATCTCTTTTCATGCTTCTTTCTATATGCTTCTTTCAACAACTTTGTGAGGACCAATCACGTGTTCCCAACAAACACGTTCATCCCTCGGGAGCTGCCGTTCGAACTCCCAAAGCGCGACTTGCTGCGGGTGAAGGGGTGCGGTACAGCCGATGCTTTGGTGCGGTTCAACTTGGGATAACTGATGGACTTTCAAACGGAAGTGCAAAGAATAGCGGTAGCGCAACGGAAGCGGACTCATGTCAGCCACGGCCGAATTGGAAGTTCCAAGCAACAAAACACTTAGGTGTCTGTTTGGCCCTTGACACAAACAAAGATAATATAATCAAAGATAGTAGGTTGGAGGCCATGCTATTAGGTTGGAAGCCATCGGTAGTAGGGCTTCCACCACGTCCCAACCTCGACACCTGACACTTGCACCTACCTGTCCTCTATGATGCTCTCACCCTGAACGTGCTGTGGTCGGGTGCTATGGTCGGGCGCACCAAATGATGAAAAGGGAGAGACTTGGCCTTGCAGAAGGGACAGGTGGCAAGCTGCCTTCCTGAAAACATCCTGCGAACAAGATCTATTTCATGTCAGTCTGAAGACCACTGAGGCCAAAATGAAATACCATGCAGGTTGCCAACACTTCCCTCCGGGCCAAATCTCCATCTCTTTTTCGGTCGGTTTCCGTCCCTCCCTCCTGCATGAGCATCAAACCGATGCTGCCAAGGACTTCCTGCAGTTTTGGAGAGCATGAATCCCAATGTGGAGGATACTCTATTGAGGTGGTTTGTGTTGAACCCATCATTCGGTCGGAACTCCATTATCAAACTAACTGGTCCTCAACAACAAGCTACGGCCAACTTCCAATTATCAAGGCGCTACACTCGATCGGTAATCAGCCTTGAAAACACTGCTTAACGCATTGACCATGTTACGTACATGTTCCACCGATCTAGCTGTTCAGTTTCAGTCAAGTCAGGAACCAACCTCAAAAATGCCTGCGAAATGACAATTGACTGATGAGGCGAAAGACGCAATGAACAAAACCAACACAGCTCCTGGACCTTTTCATCTTGGCCATCCTTGAACTTGTTGCGACCATCCGTCAAAAGCTCCTTCCTCAGTGGGCAATTGGGCAAAGGGAAGTTATCAAAATTTGCTCTCGAACAAATTAATGACCTTCTCCTCTAGGGTGGCTGACCTATACTCCTTATTGACTCCTGATGTAAGACTTCAGTAGATCATTGCACTTTGCCAAGAAGGCGGATCTGGGGCCACTTAAGCGCCAAGAAACCCATCCTTCATCTCCACATCGATTTCCACCTACCGGACTGAGCTCAGGCCATCTCTCAGGTGAGTCAGACCACGACCATCCGGTCCGAGGGGGTGGGATACGGGGTTGATATGGGCTATTCCGGTGAGACTGATCTAACCCCGGTCTCAGATCAGATCTGGGGGTCTTCACCCTCCAACGAAGGTGTTTTTTGGTCCGGTTGGGATTCGACTGGCGGCACACCGGCGCTCACCGTCCGACGGAAGCGTTCCCCCGAACGCTGCACGATCGGCTGGTGCCCCGGAACGAGATGTCGACCAAAGGCCGAGAAACAAACGTGGACGGAGGAGAAGGAGCTTCTCAAGAAAAACACCTGAACCGAGGTCTTGTGAATTAGACCCATGTGGTCAACACATCACGGAAAACAAAGAAACAACAACTTTGTGAGGTGACCATATTCACATCCTGCGAGCTATCCCGCACAAATTCACTATTGGTGTTGACCCAAGATACCATGGAATCTCGCTCACAAAAACATCTCTCCCAACAACGTCTGGAACATTTGCGTACGACACCTGCCAGTTTGTGCCTCTGAGAGGAACTCTTTCACTGCGTCCTGGGTCCACGAGATTCTGAGTGTTTGAGAGATGAAATGCCCGTGGCGAGAGAAGCACTACAGGAGAAAGGGTGAGAAACATGTTTTTTGAACGGCAGGAGCAAGGACGCTACGAACGGAGCAAAGGGCATCGCTACTAGGAGCAAGGACGCTACGCTAGGGGCTCCTGGCATCGCTACTAGTAAAAAGAAGCTATTAGTAACAAGAAGCACTACAGTGTCATTCCCTGACACGCCACAACTGGATTGAATTCTATTCCTAAAGGCAATGCTTTTGGAATCAACAGGCACACCACTGGCACACCCAAATGAAATCAATCGGTTTCTATGGTTTTCGGTTCATCTTGAGACAAAGCTATCCAGATTCTCCTTTGGGTGCTTTTCCACCTGCGAATGTCCATCGCATCTTTGTTCACATCTAATTCATGCATGCTTCAGTGGAGAATCCTCGTTTACCACTGACAGGGTAGGGTTGCCATTCCAAAACATGAGTTTACTAGCTAGCATCACCTTGACTCCCCAAAACTACCAAACATGTTTACGTGTACCTGAAGCAAAGAAGCACTAACATATCTTCCAAAGGGCATGATATACCTTGGTTAGCTCTTAGGCATTGGGATGTTTTGTGTGATCACACTCAACATGATCTCAAACACCACTAGCCCCAAACTAGGATTGAACTCCCACCCAAACACACCAAAGAATTGATCGATAGCTTCAACATATGGTCTTCGACCTGTTTGTGCTCTTTTGGTACGGACAATGATCACCAACAAGCAAAAGGTGCTACATAGATCAGGATATACATATTATATACCTCGAACTAGAACCTGAATGACTCAACTATCCAAAATATGGTCGTTTCTTATCAAAAAGGATATCAAATGGGTTCTAGGTATATATTATACAACGCTTTATAACTACTCCATGAATTTTCGATACGATACATTGGCATTATCACCCGTCACCCCCCGGTCCGACAAGTGAGACAGATTCGACCTCTATCCCTGTACATTCGATGCCGGTGCTGAAAACCAGTCCTTGTCCCAGAGCCAGACCGCGCGCTTCTTCGCGCTCTCTGGCGGGATATAAGGCACGTCGGCCTGTGCTTGATCCTGGCGACAGCACCAAACTAGAGACCCATAGCAGGGGGGGTTGCTGTACTTTGTTCAGCCTAGCCTTTAGAGTCCATGTTCAGTTTCCATGTGCTGTGAATCTGACTTCCAGCTATGTTTCAGGATGTTCAAAGGGCACCTCCTAAGGCACCTCCTTTGCAACACGTCCATGTCTCAATGTGTCAGATCCCACCGCTGTGCAAGCGTAGCACATCTCGGACACATACCCATGCAATCTATGGTTTTAAGATGTTTAATGGGCCAATGTACACTCCCTGGAATTATCATGGAAGTGGAAAATGGCACCATTGGAACCTTTACATGCTACATGCGGACATATACTTCCATGATGGTTCCAGGGAGTGGAGGTGAATATTCCATACTAGGGGCAAGAAGCTACGAACGAGGCTCCTGGCCTTACTACTAGGAGCGATCGGACGCTACGAACGGGGCTCCTGGCATCGCTACGAACGGAGCAAGAAGCTAATGAATATTCCATACCAATACATTAAGTATCATTGAGTCTTTGGGATCCGAGACTGTGATCCCCTGACCCTGGCGGAGCGTTGCGGCATGGCGATGGTCCACAGGTTCCTTTGGGCTTTGAACGAGCCCGCGGGCCCTGTGCCATGTGTAGCATGTCATAGCCAACGCATGTCTTTGAGATCAGTTGCCACCTGTCGGAACATGCTCGCTGGCGCACCTCCATGAACATCTGCATCACGCGCTTAATCATGGTGTCAACTTTCTTCTTGTCATCTTCCTTTTCAAATTTCACTTCATCCATGACAAGCCTCATTCATGCAGGCAGGTGTCAATGTTCTTTTCCACAAAATCACAGATTGGGAAAGGCCTGTTTGGCTCATAGGTTTGGCTAGCAATCATCATGACCCAAGAAAGCTGTTTCAGTTTAATGGCGGGACTTTGATAATATATAAATATTGCAATATGATGATTAAAAAAGCAACGCTTGCCGTCAAACTTACATGGGAACACGAGGGATCTCGGCCACGCTGCTGCTTGCCAGTGCACTTGGGGATCTCGCCTGCGAGGTCGGTGTGTGATCTGTGAGCAAACAAAGGAAGTGCAATCTACATGCTGCCATCATGGCAAGAATTCATCCAACACAATCCATCATCATCCAACTACATCAGTTCTATGACATATAGTTCAAATTGCTCCTGGTGCGTGTTAATTACAAACATCCGAACCCCAAAAAAGACCTGCATGTTTCAAGTAACAAGTAGTCATCCAAACCTGCATTTTTCCCCCCACCCTCCCATGATGTTCATCGCTATCGCTGGTTCACGAACGCGTGCCGTCCCTTACAGCCTACTTCCAAACCCCCAAAAAGCGGTGCAACCCCGCGGAACGCACCAGATTCCATGCGGATCGGATCGGCCGTGGGGAACGTGGAAGGCTCAGCGACCGTGCGCAGCTGCGTTTCAGTCGACTCATCCGGCCCCTTCGACTCGTTCGGTGACCGCTACACTCAGTTCGGGTCTAAACCAAACGCGTCGTTCGGTGAGGACGAGATGTCTAAACCAAACCAAAGATCTCCGTCTGAACGGGCGAATTCAGGACATGTGAAGAGCGATGTGACCTTGGTCCTGATTGGTCGAATGAATTCCAACAGGTATGGTGAGAACGTGATTAGAACGTGTGTTTTTCCGATCTCGGTCTTGAAGAGCAAATCAGGACGTCCTGGACCCAGTGTCTTGGGAGTATGCGCCTTCCAATTCATTCTCGCCCAAGGCTTCGGCGCAGTTGTCCTCGGTCCACAGCCACACCGCACGGCGCATGTTGCCTTGGAGCCGCACGTGGTGGGACGTGTCGGGTGTCGTCCCCGGTGTTGACTCCATTTGTTCGCTACGAACGGAGCGGTCCGGACGCGACTGTCGTCACTTATAGGTTCAAACACTTGGGTCAAAAGAGATTCTAAAGGGTCAAGCACTTATTATTAGCTTCAATGAGATTCTATCCAATGTAACAGGGAGACGCCCTGGCCTGGGTAGACAACCAATCGATGTCCGATCCGAACTCCGGCGGTCGAATCTGAGAGGTCGCCCATTATTTTGATACACCCGCCCTGTTCGTGGTTCCCTCGAAAACACAATCAGAAGGGGGATGGTATCTTTCACATCCACCCTCCATGATGCCCCGCTCAAAAGTAAACCCCATATATATGTGGAAAAGCTATGAAGCGCGACAAAGAGATGTCCAATTCATCATTGCCATGCCTTGAGCGATGCCATGCTACTCCCAGGCTTTCCTGCGAGGTTGAGGACCTTCTTCAGCTTCTCATTGTCTTCGTCACTCAGCTTGCCTGACGAGTATATAGTTAGTAGTTGTCTTCTGGATCTACTTCAAATGCTGCAAATTAGCCTTATGTTCTCCACCATACAGGGAAGGAAACTTCAGGAGCCCATCCCTCCTTCAAACGGGTCTGTTTTTGTAGGTCTCTAAATTAGGTGTTCCACCACAGAAAGTGTTTTTCTTCAGTAAGGCAAACAAGGGTTAAGCAAGTCTCCCGAATTGAGAGCCCGACTAATCTGGATGATTAGGATGAGCAAAGCACATCAGCACATCACTTGAACAATTCCAGACATCACTTGTACTTGAGCAATTCCACATCAAGTACGTGACTCTAGTGAGCCAGGGTCCTTCGGTGCCATAGAAGAGCATTTGGGAGAAAAACACATAACCTAATTCGGGTATGCGGACAAACCCCATGTGTTCTTGCAAATTTTAAGAAAGCTCGGGTTTCCTGGGACAACCCCGGGTATTCCCCCGTTGTCTGCAAGGTAACGCTGATAGTATTCCTTTACATGCTCAAAGAACAGGGTGGTTACACGAATGAACTTGAAATTTGTTTGTTCCATTGCTATTTTGTTGACACTTTAAACTTGTTGAATACTATCAGGAAAAGTTCCGGTGTGAGGTAGAACCCGTGATTTACGAGTGCTTAACCATGACTAAACCTTGCTGAACCTGCGATTTGCAAGGAGTTGTTTTGTTTATACATGTTTAATATACTTTAAAACGCGAGATGTACCTGTGCTCAAGTTGTGATTTACCTGTGATAACTTATCTATAACCCGTAGAAATTCACATGTTTTGGATGATTTGGAGGTCAGATTGTGAATGACGTTCGTTCGGAGGTCAAAACAAACATCTTCCAAATCGATGCCCACTATTCTCGAGGGTATCGAGCAACTCACGTTGCCACTATTTTCGCTACTCACGTTCTGAAATCTGAAAAGCGTTACGCTGGCTACACATGTGTATTCTGCCAGGACTCTCGAAAGGAATGCACTCAAACTTCACCTACAGCCATTCCGGCCATTCTGCTTTTCACCCTCGGCGGGCTAATGGTTTCCTGCCCCCCCCCCGAAAAAAAAAAAAAATATATATATCATATATCGACATCCCTTCATTGAAATACTCCTCAGACCTCTGGAACCACTTGACAAACACAGCTCCATCACATCAATTCTCACCCCAAGACTTTCTCAAGCAGGTTTCTAGGTGCAAAGCTCTCTCCAAAGACGGATGGCGCAAAACTGGGCCTAATGCTCTGGTGTTCATTTTAGCTTGGCCAGATTTGGACCATTCCTCATCTGCCAAAAGGCCCAGGATATCCTTCAAGTCCTTGTGCTCCATCTTTCCTGTTCACCGCAGAAGCACTGGTGGAAAAGGTTTCAGCCAGTTGCTGCGACCAGATGAATGACCCAGAAATCATGTGGCAAGAATCGAAGCATCATGAACTCATGGACCATATAGACATTGATGTGACCATGTCCTTTTCCTATTCATGATCCAATACAATTCTATGATTTGCGACCAGAACTGAAGCCCTGGGGATCCAGTCGTACTGTCAGCATGTGTTTCGGAAACACCTTTCTCAGAAGGTGACTGGTCCAAAACCAGCTGAGCATGGGCTCAGACTGGATTGGGTTCCCAGGTCCGTGCTGAGGCAAGGTTGGGACCCATCAGAAGGTATCACTCCCAAAATCAATTGGACAGGAAGGAGTTGTTGGTGTTGCATGCCACTTTGCTTTAGGTGGCTCTGAGGATATGACAAGCAACAGTTGAAATGCAAGCAGTTTAACAAATTTTGACATGTTTGCATTTGGGGATCCATGCCATGACTAGGTATGCATGTGATTATCACATGATGATGCCATCCCTCGGCATTAGATTGGTCACCTTTTGTTTAACCTTTTCCATACATGGGTCTCTTGCGGCTTGCTGCTCTGAAAGGTTCGCCACCCCCCGGCCGCTGCAGGTGTGCTTGTGTGGTGAGATAAGGTACTTGGACCCTCCAAGCCTACATAACAGTGTCTCTGATCACCTTGATAAGGTACTTGGGTCCCAGGGAGGGATTGACAATGATTGACAATCCAAGCAATCCAGCCAAATACGTCTTCATAGTCTTCGGGTGATTTGGGATGATTATCTAGAACTGATCCAAAACTCGACCCAGCGCATCCAGTGACACCACTTTTCTTTCCGGATCCATGGCCAAGTTTGGCCCAAGACTGTCACGCATCAACCTGGGCGGACACTATGCGGCGTGGGGGATCGATCATCGAGGAGCAAATGGTTGGGGAAGACCTGATGGTTTCGAAGCCGATGCGCTTCAAGGTTAGTGCAACTTATCTTCAAGAATGCACTAGATATGTAGCAACAGTGCAACCTGTGTGCATGAACCAGTGAGACATGTGTTTTTCTACTTTTTGAGCATTATATTGAGGCCATTGGGCAAAAGATCCATGATGGTCTGATGACCTATTGCGCAACTCGGGGCCCGGCCATCCTTGCATCAGATGGTCGGGAGTTGGTTAGCTTTCCAGAACGTGAGAGGCCAATCATTACAGAACAGGATCTAGAAACCAACTTTGAGCTGATCCGCGAGATTGCATGCATATGTTTCGAACTCCACTTGAAGCCGGGATCGACCCATGAAATTCCAATTTTGGCCGAGTTTGAGGCTGGTTGCGTGTGATTTTTGGTGTGCTGTCTGGCTTGGCCATACCTTTACATAAATGTATTGTTCCAGCTATAGTGTGTCCCTGATCAGGGGGCTTTGCTACTTCTGTCTCTTCGCTGCAACTTCCATGTTGATCTTCACCATCGACGTGGAGGAAAGGGCAAGATCAGAGAATCTAGGCATATAGCAAGTAAATGTGATGATGGTTGTAAGGGCTACCACCTCTAGTGCCTGCTGTAAATGACTGAGCCTAGGAATGGGCCAATGCAGAATCTACTCGGTTGCGGAAGCTGCTGACTTACTTGGTGATTCTCACCAATCGGACACCTGAGTCAAGGATCCTGCCAAAAGAAAGACACCTAGTAACTTAGTATAAGAACCAACATGAACCAACATGGCTTGCAAAATGCTACACAACATTGTTGGACCTTTGGGTGTGAAGCAGGAGCGAGAAAGTGAAGGTTCTCAAGAGCCTTGTGAAGTCCTTCCGAACCATCAAATTTGCAGAGGCCTGCTTTTGGACTATCTTTTGAGTGTTGGTATTACAATAAAACATGCATTTGCTAGGCCAGTAGTGTGGAGGAAGCACCACCTGTGGAGCCATTGGAGGACGTTACTTGTGTCAATCCCTTTTGAATTATGCCACAAACCACACCACACTGTCTGTACAATCATCTGGGCAACCTGGCCAGCTCAGCCAGCAGGACGAGAGGCATTTGCAGGTGGACCTGGATGATGAGCCGATTATCACAGCTGTTCACTTGGTCGAGGGTCCTGTGCTAGCTGGGCCAGTGGAAGTCAAATCAGAACAAGTTGAAACTCAGCTGTTGATTCTTCAACAAACAGTTTCATGTGAATTTCAATAATGCTGCCTCAAAATTTGGTCTAACAGTTGGGATCTTAAGGATGCTGATGGTCCTGCTTTGGGGGATGCTGGTGCTCCTGCTACCGGCCTAGGGAGTGAGGCCCCTCCTGTGACTACAGCAACTTATCTGTCTGTCAGGATTATATTGTGTATGTGACGTTCAATGCCTCAATGCTGTCTCAAAAACGCATGCTAGCATTTTGGATCTTAAGGATGATGGTCCAGCTTTGGGGCATGCTGGTGCTCCTGCTGCAGGGAGTGAGGCCCCTCATGTGACTGCAGCCACTTATCTAAAGTCTGTCAGGATCATATATTGTATGTGACTTTCAATGCGTCAATACTGTCTGACAAACGCATTCTAGCATTTTGGATCTTAAGGATGCTGGTCCAGCTTTGGGGAATGCTGGTGCTCCTGCTACAAGCAGTGAGGCCGCTGATGTGAATGGAGCCACTTATCTAAAGCTCTGGGGATGAGATTTGTATTGTCAGCCGCTTGATCAATAAATGCAGTTTAAGGATGAGCCGTTTTCTGGCCATGGATTTGTTCCCTATTCACTTCGCATACGGGAGTTCTTTGAAAGGCATCCAGGTGCCAATCAGGACTGCATCAACATCCTTCAAACAACTGGTGTATTAATTGTATAGGTCCTGTGAGCTGTATAGATCCGTACATGTCTATATATGCATGCGCAGGCAGTTGACCTGGACATCGAGGAATCGCAGGTGCATGGGAGGTTGATTCAGGGAACTGTTCTGTTGACTTGGACCTCATGATTTGTACGTGAATGTGTTCATGTGCAGGCGGTTGATCCAGATCCAGTGATTGAATTGGACATTGAGGACTCGCAGGTGGCACACCGTTGTGACTCCAAAGGCCCACGAGTGTATGATACCAGTGGTCAGGTGGTCCAGCCTTCATCTGTAACTGGGCTCATTGCAGAAGAAGAGACACCCACCCCACCTGAGAACACCGCACATGCTGAAGAGCAGCCACCTTCTGCACAGGGCCCAGCTGCCAAAAGGCGCAGGCAGGAGCAGTTGATTCCCAATCCACCTGTTCTTGCCCCACAGGTAGTAGCATCAGCTCAAAGCCAGGTGCCAAAGCAGGGGGTGGAAGCGGATTTGGCAAAGCAACGTGAGTTGAAAAAGCAGTTGGAGCAGGAAGCAAAGGACAAGGCAGAACAAAAAAAAATTGACACAGAAGCCAAAAAGAAAGCAGCAGAAGCCTTGAAGATTCAAAAGGCTGAAGCAAAACTTGAAAAGCTCAAGGCTGATGCTGCCAATCGTGAGAGCAAAAAGACCAAGAAACCAGTCAAGCGGCAGCTGGAGAAGGAACTTGAACAAGTTTCTGAACAACACAAGTCGGCACCATCTGACCCGAGCAAATCAGGACCATCCAGCCCTGCAAAGATGGAGCAAAGAGGCAAGGCCTTGAAGTTGTCACCAAAGGCCAAGAAATTTGCTGTGAACATCAGCCCCAACACCAAGCACCAAAAACGAGTTGATGCTAGGGCCACTAGGGCAGCTAGCAACTTGGAACGTCTTAGGGGCCTGAAGTTGGATGGGTTGAGCTTTCCGCCGGAATCATTTGCAAAGAAGATACTCGCATATGCATGAACAATTTTAGGATCACTTTTTGTGTTTTCAAATCTTTTGCTTGGCATCAGGTACGTGTGCAACGTCAAGTTCATTGTTTTTTCCATCCAAGGAGCTTCACAGCCCATGATCCCAAGAAGCGGGGCCGCAACATTGGGGTGGTGCTGTACCAGTCGCACTACTATATTGGCCAGGCTTCAGAGGAGCGGGTTCATGAGAAGATGGGGAGGGACCCTTATCCCAATGGCAGCATCTGTATCCCTTGGGAGCCAGATCCGGCAACTGCGCACAACTGACATGCTTCCTTGCAGTCAACTAACAGTTTACAGACATCTCTCTATAAGGCTATGTTTAAATATATGAGGTTTAGAGCTCTAGGATCTTCACTGGCCAGGTGGTCTCTGGCCAAGTACATTGCTATGTGGGATGACAGCTGAGCTGCCTGAGATGGCATAGTTGGTTGATTGGCAGACTTGGGCCAAACCAGTGTTGCAACCAGACTTTTTATCAATCAACTTTAGCTCAAACCTTGAAATGGGCCTGATATCTAAATATGTACTTATATAAATAGCCGAGCAGATCTGTTTTGTTGATCTGAACCTGAAAACTGTTTCGTGTCAGGTTTGCTATATATATATATATATAGTGAGATGGTTGCCATGCAGTTTCTTCCAAGTAGATTACAGAAACGATTATAGATCTGCTTCGCCGCCATCCAGATATTGCACACATTGTTGCTGGGAATTGGTGGGGTGCCATTTTGAAAGGAAAGGACTCCCCTGAAATCGACACACATATATTTGAGGGGTGTGGCCCCCATCACAATGAGGCAGCAGTGTGTGGATTAGATCTTGGAGTTGGTGGCTCAGCAATTTGCAACTACTAGTTGCTTGATCAAGGTTCATGCGAGCACGGAGGGAAAAAGTTTCTGATATATGGGAAAATATGGAAGATGAGCCTGTTTGGATGCCCATCTTTTTTCTTGAGAACACGCAAGCCTGTGATCCTCAAGACCCCCTGGCCCCCATCCTCTTGGAGCCCAGCAGCAACCATCAATCTGTGGCCCGTCATGTGCACGCAGGTCGCCAAAATGGCGCCTCATCATCGTCAAGTTCAAGCTTGGTTGAACAGAGAGGCCAGGGCGTTGAGTATGGGAATTTGTGACATTGGTAGGCTTGAAAGAGATAACAAACATTAAGACATCTCAAAGTGTGTTCTTTCAGTTGGGAAATGTAAGAGTCCGATTGCCCACCCCACCTAGGCCTAGGTCTAGTTAATAGATTTGGGACCTCCCTCACCTGCTTGTGCAGGAGACACATCGCGATCAGAAGCCTTGGGTGGTGCCACACCCTCTGTGCTGGGGGGCTGATGGGATATGTGAGGTGAACCTAGATTTGGATTGAACCATGTTCGCAATCCATTCTTTAGCAAGTCATTGGATGGAGGGATTCATGTGTAGACCCCCCCCACCCCCCCTGGGGTGTCAACTCCCCCGTCCCAAGTCTGCTGATCAAGGCGATGACAATCCACTAGGTCATTTGTCAACCACAGACCTTCCATGGGGGAGACCGGTGGGAGCTCGTAGGCTTCCCGCCAAGCCATGCTAGCTTTTGTCACCAACCCCTGGCCTCAAGTTGGGCATTGCATGTATGCCAGCTTGGCTCTGCCTGGAACGGGCTGAACATCAAGCAATTACTGGTGCTTAAACTTTAAAGCTTAAGTACATGAACATTCAGGCAACATCCCTCTACGAGGTGTCTGACCACCTCTGGGTTGTTTTATTTTCAGTTAATTCTTTTGGGTGTTCTGCTCGGAACCTTTTGTGTGACAGCTATGGCGCCCAGATCTTTGAGCATCTCCAAACTGCAGTGCGCTGTCCTTTTGTGCTTGGGATGTCCACCTTTGGTGTGCCCTGGAATTGGTTTAGCCATGTTTAGCCTATTTATTCCAAGTTTGTCAGATCATGTACTAGATGCATGCACATATGTGGAGCCATTCTGAGGATCCACCTGCTGGACTTCATTGGGCAAACTCAGCCACAGCTCTTTCGGGACCGCTTGCTTTGGATCAGGTTAGAGGGCCAGAGATTAGGGGATGAATTTTCAAGCTCAATAAATATTTAGTTATATAAGTTATATATATATATGTTGCTGTTGGATTAGGATCACTGCATATTTGTATGTTCTGTCCACACATGGCCATGGCCAAGGTTCCAAATCACTGGATGGGGTGGGTCGTCGTGCAAAGATTTTTGCTACCTCCTTTGTCTGGATGATGGGGCTAGGCCAACTGTAGTCAAGCTTGACAGATCTGCTGAATTGGCTACTGTCAGGACTTGTCTTGCTCCGAGTTCTTCAGTGGCGTTGAAAGCATCACTAAGGGATTTCGTTGGATACCCAGTGGGCAAATTGTTTCCAACACACACACAGTGAATGCTGAGTAAACACATCCATTGCTTCATCTGGCATGTCTAGCTAGAATCCTTTTTTGTTTGATCATGTTGCCCATGTTGATCATATTTGACCAAATTGTTTAGTTTTCTTGTAATATATCTAAGTCCCTCTTTCTTCAGCCAGTGCCCAGGTGATCGTGGTTCCACTGCGCAACCCGGCAGGCAGCTTCTGGGGCACCGAACTTGATGTCAGTGCTGTGTTGTGGAACCCGGGTATGGCCTATTACTGAACAGGATGATGTAATCATGCAATCCGGTGGTTTTGTGGTTCTTCATCACCTTGAACTGAACCCGTCATGTGATGACAGATCAACCAAGGCAAGGATTTGATTTGGTCAAGGACCCAGTGCTGCATGACATCACCCTGGTCATTGGCTTCATCCATTGTCTGGGGTTGGTTCTCAGAACAAAAACAAGGGGGTTGACATGGCTGGCAATTCCCTGTCAATCATTCAGCTTCATGAGTTCATCGTGTCACAATCGCACATGGACTGATCCATATGGATCCTTGCACCGGCAGTTTGTTCAATTGGGCAATTGCATTTGTTCGCGCAGCTGCATACTGATACTGGTATCGCTGGCAAGATCTGTGGTGTTCTTTGTGGAAAACCCCTTACAAAGCTCACTGCAATGCTGGCCCTTTCTGAACTACCTCATGCACATGCCAACTCTGGGTTCCCACAGGACTTCATGGTAGCTGGGCTTGTCCAGTATTTATCTTGTTTTTTTGGTTTCTTTAAATATATGGGTCGATGGTGAGCCAAATGGGTGAACCAACCAAAGGGTTGCCATTGTTGAAACCAGGCTCATGGGATTCTATGGTGGCTGGAGCCTGAAACCACAATTGGGTTTGTCCAATGCGTTGCTTGGAGAACAAATGTGTACAGTTTCCCACTTTTGGTAGACCCCCCAATGTATAGGACACCGGATCGCACTCCTCTGACTTTGAGGGTAGGGGAGGAGAGAAGTGCAGGCATCTTTAGGCTATTTTAGGCTCTCCCTAACCAAGGACCCAACCTGTGCCTCGGCCTTTCTTTGCCAAGGATATGGGCTGCATACCTGAACCAGCCCATGTCCAAAGAGAACAGGAAGGCTTTGAGGGACAAGGCCAAACTACATGGGAAGGAAATAGTGAAGATCACGGTGTCCAAATCCAGCAACAAGGTCCATGTGACACTAGGCTTTATGTCATAAGTAGTACTACCATTAACACTGTGGTCATGTGATGTCATATTCTGGGATGGTTCACTTAGAGGTTGTGTGAACAACGCAAGGACTGGATCGAAGGACCTGAAAGCTTCTCAATCATATCCGCGAGACTTTGGCTCCCGTGTTGCAGAGCACCATCTGGAGTTCATGCAGTCTGCAGCTTGGGTCTTCAACTGTTGTCTGCTTTAAAAATATGACCTGTGGACCTCTTTTGGAAGGATATATATGTACATATATGAGACTCAAGCTCATGATGCACAACCAAAACCATGAGGACATCCCCATGCCCGATCTTGCTGGATTCATTCAAAAATTTGGTTATCAGGAGACTTTGCACTGCTCCATTGAATGTTGTTCCAAATTATAGCTAGTGGGCGGTAGTCACACACATGTGAACTGTATATGTGATATGTGTATGGCTGCCTGGCCCTGCCAGGAACCACCCCCCGAGTGCTGGAGATTCGCCAACTTGGAGCCCATGGTGGAGTTCATTAATTCCGCTGTGCAGTCAGGAAGGTACACACCGGATCCTGACATTCCAATTCAGGTAGAGCCATGTAGGCAAGCAGCTGAATTGGCTAGGATGCGGGCCTTGGAAGGGTGAAAGGTTCATAGTCATATTATGATCTTTGGTTGCTATATATGTGCCTTTTCCTTTGACTCAAGAATGTTAGACAAACCAATTTTGTCCTAACCATTTGATGAGGGAAACTTGTTTCAAGTTTGTGAGCACCAGCTAGCCGATGAGGTAGTTTGCAACATGTGTGGCACAAGGGCGTAGGGACTCCAATTCCCAAATCAACGCCCATGGGCCAACACAAATTCAGAGTTGGTGAGGCTGTGGGCCCCTTAAAATCTGTGGTATGCACAGATCCCGTTAACTTTTATGTTCTGAAATGCCCCTTGCCACCAACCCAATGCCTGGCCCTGACTGGCCTTGCAAATCGAGAAAATGATGTGTGCCTGGGCCTGGAGCAGAAGCTGAGGGATGTGTGGCCAGGGCAGTGGGGTGAATTGTTGGATTTTACCGAGTTGCTAGGGCTGCTTTGGAGCTAGACATGTGGGCTTGAGATCTTATAATTAACATGCAACTAGGATGTTATGTACAGTGCTAGTCCATGCTGGAGCCGTTTTGTCAGATCCGTACTGTACTGCTGGTGGCTCAGTGCTGGGAAGAGGAGCGGGTTTCCAATCCTCAAAAAAAACGGTCACAGTATGTGATCGATCAATGGTCACAGAGGTCACAGGGGTCACAGAGGTCACAGATGTACTAGTGTGGTCGATCTAGAGAGGTCACATTTTGAGAGGTCACAGTACAGGACTAGAGCTAGCTAGCTAGTGTCACAGTTGTAGCTAGCTTGGAGTACTGGTGGGGGAAGGTCACAGCTGGCGACCAACAACGACACTGTGGCCTAGGCTGTGGTGAAAACTGTGACCAAACCATCCAAAATGACAAATGTGACTCGGAAAAACAAAAGAATCCAACACAATCAGTCACAGTTGAATACAAAACTAGTACTGTTCGACAGCCTGGCTAGCGTTAAAATAGCGTTAATCCGCGTTAGAATCACGTGCTGAGGCAATCGAGAGCGTTAATTTGCATTAATTTGCGTTAAAAATGAGACCCTCTGAAAATTGTTGTTTTTCTGCCCTAGTTGACGTGGAAATGTTGGTTTCCTCTGTAGGAGTCACATGTCTGGCAGTAAACCTCGAGCTACGGCCTGCAAATCAATGGCCAAAACATCGCCAACACAGGCTGGGATAAGTTTCCATGGTTTTACCGTCCTGGCTTTAACAAAATCGGATGTTGAAGTTAACCTTGGGCTTCTCCTGGCCTCTTGTGCCACAGGCTTCCTCGCATTCCTCGGAAGACAGGTTCGACTTCGATCGTGAGTTGGAGAAAGTTCGGCAACGCGTGGCCAAAGCTTCTGCAGTAGTTGAAGATGTGGCTCCTGCAGGATCCATGACTTATGCTTTGGCAATGCTATTTGAAGTTGGGTCCCCTGAGAAAGTATATATGTTCATAGTTGAAGTCCAGGACAAACTTGTCTGAATTGTGTTCCGATATGTTTCGATAAATAGTTAATCTTGAATGCAAACATATTGACGGGTTGACTGTAAACATTATCACCAGACCATTCTTTGGGATAGGTATCAACCTCCAAAACTAACACAACACTGGTTCTGTTCAAAATCAACTGTTTTTCCTGGCTAGCCATCACCAATATTGTAAGGTCATAAGATCCAATTGCTCAATAAATATTTGAATTGGTTTCTGGTCACCTCATTTCCTCATGCTTGTGGACTCTTCCAGGGGTACGCGACATTCCAGTTGCCACACCTGTGCGTGCTGCACCTCAGAAGAATGAACGTGGCCCACCTTCATCCAATTTCACTCCGGTGAGAAGCCCATTGCTGAAGAAAGTGAAGGTCGAAGTTCAGGAAGTTCAGGGAACTTTTAAAGCTTATTTTATGTAATCACATGTTAATAATAGATGTGATTTCAATTGTTTCAAGCTGGTCCAACCACGGGTGATCCCTTTCCAGGCATCCCAACCGGCACCAAAGCCATCCAGTACATGGAGATCGCCACCTGGTTCAGTGCGCATTGCACCAAGCAAATCCACTACCTGTGCCTTGCCCCAAAATTACCAAGATCAAGACTGTTCCAACCCCAATGCCTCTTTGGCCTATATATTCATGTCCTCCAAAGAGTTCATAATTGTGGACGAGTTTGTGCAAGCCCATGTGTGCAGTTGAACTGATCACGAGTCAGTTCTGTGTTGCCACAGCATCCAAGTCATGAATCTTCTGTGGCTTGTACTACTTGAGGTGCTGTCTCCACACCATTGCCAACAGCAAAGGGTGGACTAAGATCCATATTGTCGGCAACCACTTTGGCCTATGGTGCTTCCATGGAATCATTAGAAGGTCCTTCTCTGCAAGACACCCCGGATGAGGGGGCAGATGCTTTGGTGAGGTCCTTTTCCGACTCTGTTTTTGGTCCGGAGGCACCAGAAATTACTATGGAATATGTGGCTGAAATCAAACCCAAAGTCATTGAGTGGATCTCGATGGGGGAACATGAGATCGATAAGGCTAATGGTGATGATGTGGGTTATGAACATTTCTCAAGGATCTTGGAGGTGCACAGGCAACAAGAGCTGGTGAAAATGGAGATCCAGAAGGCTACCAAAACATTCGAACAGCAGTCAGTGTCGATTGAAAAGGCCAAGTCCCAGATGTTGGCAAAGTGGTCTGGGTCCATTGGGGTTTCTGATCCTAGAGCTCAAAAATTGGATGAATGGGCCGCAGAAAAAAAGAAGGATGCCTACATGCTCGTTACCAAACACTCGGATGAACTCAAGCGGTTGGAGTCACTTGTGGATTCCCACATCTTCCAGCTGTTGCAATTGATAGCAGGTCATGATCAGAAGCACACTGACCCAGAATGTGATGCCCTAGTGCAGGAGCTTGATCTCAAATTTCAGGCTATGTTTCTTGAGGAACCGCCACCCACATCCACTCCAAACACACCTGTGGAGATGAGTGTGGAAAGGGCCGCTTTGGAAAAGATTCGTGAATTGCCGGATGGTCCTCAAAAATCGGCCTTGCTTGCAGTTCTTGAAGCCGCAGTGGTCTCTGATGCCCTCTGGCTATATATATTACTATATTTTGTGGAGTGGTTGTTGTGGTTAACATTATTGGTCTCTATAAGTCCTATATAACACATTCAAAGACACCATTGACTGCTAATTTTCCACTTGGATTGGCCTGTGAAAAAAGACCCCCACAAGTCCGGCACCCCCCCTTCAAAACCTGCATTTCAAGCAGGTCGAACCGTACTTGTGGGGGTCTTTTTTTGCAGGCCAATCCAAGTGAAAAATTATAACCATTGACTTGGCTGGGTAGCAACCCCCCCCCATCACTCGATTCGATCACAGGCAACACCTGCTGAGCCGGTTGCTCCGCCTGAAGCTGTAGCTAATGGTGCTGATCTTTCTGACCTTCCTCATGTGGCCGAGGGTGTATTGGGGAGGATGGATACAACTCAACTGGAGGTGGGATCTGTATATATATATATGTATATATATAAACATTTGTTTTTTGAAGAGGAAAGACAAACACATCCTACAAGTTGACTATATATATATGTATGGATGTTTGTTGCCATTTTTTAGTTTATATATGTTCCAAAGCTGTGCAAGGCAAAGGAGGCAAAAACCTTGCATGAACAATACAAAGACGATCCAGATGCCATTTTCCAGCCAGATGGGACGGTCAAGTTCATTGGCCCCCGTGGGGTTGAAGAGGATGAGTCGCAGCATTTGGCTAGACTTGCGCACAATGCACGGATGCGCTTCAACAGGTCGTTTGGAGGCTTGGGGTCCAAAGTCGGTGTTCAGTCAGATCTTGGCTAACTCACACACTCCGATATATGTCATTTAGTTTTAGAATGCAAGAACAATAATACTATATATATATATATATAGACCTCCTAACACTGGTATAGCCAATCCCGCATGTACAGGAAGGAACTGTCCCCCAGCTATCCTTGAGCTTTACAACGCCAAGAAGGGCAGTTCCTTGGATGAACTGGGAGGTTGTGGGGACAGGATATAGCATCAGAGCAAATGGATCCAACTCTGTTTCCTGCTTGTGCTTCTGGGGTTGCATCCGGATTGAACACAATAGTAAAATTGAGACCCGCACCTGGGGCTCAAACTTGGAAATCTCGAGATCAAAGCTTGGGATGGTTGATGTCAATGCTTGGAACACATTAGATGCAATGACATATCTTCCAAACTGAAACCCTGTACAAAAACTGTACACTATCCTATATAATATATATATGTGTCCAAGTTTGACCTGTTAAGCCACTAAGGTGGTGCCAGTGTGACTACGATGTTCGAGGACTTCATCCAAAGTGGTGAGAACTGGATGGACAGTTCTTTGCTGGCATCCCTTCAAAAGTCACATTCTCAAAGGAGAAGGGGAAAACACGTCATGATGCCATACCGAGATGTCAAGCAAAAGTTTGGGCTGGCCATTGCCTCCCAAATCCTTCAAGAGAAGCAAGCCCAAGAGAAAGACAAGAAGGCCAATGATTCCACCATATACTTCATGCCTCACCCAGAAGCAAAGGGGAATGAAGAGTCTCATTTGCATTGATTATATTACATGCCATAAATGAATACACCTGCAAACATATTAGAAAGAACCCACCCTAGCCCAGGACTGGAACCTGCTCCGTGTGTGGGATTCAATGGAGTATGAAGACCAGCAGGATGATACCCTCTCTGTGGGTTTGACCGCATCCGGTGCGTTTGATGAGACTGCTTCAAGGGCAATTCTGCACCTTGATGAACATGCTTTTTAGAATATCTAGACCTATGTATAGCTATTCCAACACCATCACCCTGTTTGCACCTCCCCTGCTCCGTGCCAGAATCCCCGCTCCTCAGGCAAGATCAGATGGGCTCGCAAATGGACAGGATGAGGTTCTCCTTGGATGGTAGGGTTGTGACTGAGCCAGCTGGCAATAGAGACACTCCTGAAGAGAAGGGAAAGAAGCAAAAGCCAATGAGTAGGAGGCTTTCGGCCAGCATATCAGCCTGCAGTTCTAAGATGACGGAAGTCTTGGCATGGCAAGCAAAGCTAGATGATAACAAGGTAGGTCTGATGCTAGTACGATCAAACATGTTTTTTTGTTTATAGCTGGCCTCAACCACTTGAAGGTTTACCATCCTCTTCTTTTGGCATTGGACCCCGCATTAAGCCATATACCATGGGTTTAGATTTTGATACTGTGCCAGCCTGCAGTATGGGTCCACAAACCTACCTAGTACAAAAAAAAAACATATAACTGCCAGTTAACAGGTTGGCACAGGGAGCTGTGTTGGTAGAAACTTATTGAGCCCCTAAACAATGGTGGCCACAAGTGCCCTTCCCATAAACCCCATAGGGTAGAATTTTTTCCAATCCAAAAAAGTGCTCCTGCGCAGCTCAGGAGCATGGGTTTGATCAATGGCTTCAGGAAGGAGTTGGAGGGGCGGTCGGAGGCACTTAAAAATGCCCGTCTTGAGCTGGAGGGGTTGTATGCCCAGCGTGTTGAGGACTCGAAAATTGATCTTCCGGACAACCACAGGTTCAAAGAGGACTGTATGAAGGCTCTCCGCAGTTGTGATTCAGCGTTCACCAGCTATGGTGGAACCCTTCGATCAATCAAGGGTGTGCTCGAGACTTTCCAGAAATCTATTACTGTTATTAGCCATGGGAACATGAGATCACATTCTTATCGCCTGTTCATACTTTGAGTTTGTGATTTCTGGATCCATCCATCCCATTGTGGAGATACCAGGCCCTAGTGTGCCAATTCTTTTGACAGCCCAGGAACCGCCGAAAACCAAAGCAAAAGCCAAGCCGCGTGCCGATCCAAAACCAGCTGATCCGCAAGAACCAGCTCCTGCTCCATAGTGAGTCTCAGTGATTCAAAGAGGGATAGGTTGGGCCAGGGAAATCCTTAGCCAGCAGCCAGTGCAACTGATTTTGGACCTTGTTGTTTGTTTCTACTACAGTACTAGTACACTGTATGTGTGAATATTCTTGGGATTGGGCAGTGCACTGCTGCAGTCATGCGAAGCTTTTGAGTTGAAATCACTGTCGCTAAGCTGCGGACAAAGAAACAAAAGGCTTTCAGTGGCCCTCATGCATGTGGGACTGAACACTTTGTCATCATATCATGTTTGGAGTTGGTGCAAACTGGGTTCGATTATGTTTTGACAAATGTTGAGTCAGGCAGTGATGAATATTTGCAACTGCCAGTACCTAGTGCCCTGTAACTATATAGCTATAGTACATGATTCAACATCTGATTTCCCTTGCGCAGGTGCTGTTCGGAAAAAGGACAAGAAGTCACCACTGTACAACTTCCTTCTCAAACAGGCTGGTCTTGGCGAAGCTTGGCTTAAACGTTCAATGCTGGCTAGTGCATGGTCCAAAAGTGAAAGACTTTATCTATGACAATTTTAGAACTATATAGCTAGTTTTATGACAACATGGTTGTCCAGAACATGTCATTTATGTTTAGTTCTGGTGTGGGACACTTGTTACTAAGGAAACCTCGTTCACAAAAACACAAACTTTGATGCACTATGTGGACAAGGAGCGGGGTGCTGAAGCTTGACCAGATCTACTGCAACACATAGGCCCCATCAAACCCGGAAAACGGCAGGCCTATCATATTTGCAAATTTGTTTGTGCCTTTGCTTGGGCAGGAGTTCAAGCGTCATGGAGTCCAGCTACAAGGACCATGTGCTGATCTGACATCAGCTGGGTGCCGTGGGAAGTTTTCTTCCAACTGTCAGCGGGACATCATGCGGAAGATTGTCAAAAACGACCCGGAACAGGCCCCATCTTGACAAAACCAAGCAAAACGCTTGAAATTAGGTTGGATTGTGCTGCACATGTGACAGGTGAAAATAGATTGGATTGATGTACCAGTTCAAAAGCAAAGGGGGCCCAACGGAGTGGAAAGCAGGACAGGGTCTGGTTTTTGTTACATGTGTTCAGCAAATCATAGCCTCATAGCTATAAACCAGTACTCGCACTGTGTTCAAAGGTTTCTCCAAGGGGTTGGAAGCTTGACCGCAGGAGGCTCCCCATTGTTCTGCCTGAGAACATTGTGCCCATCCTACCTTCCATTCCAAAGTCCAAGATCAAAGAATTTTGGGACCATCTTTCAGGTGTCAACAGCCCGCTTGCAGAGATCAGCCCTGGCAAGGGGCATTACCCTCTTTGGCTATGGGGAGATGAATGTCAATATAGGGAAAGCGGTGAGGAGGTGATGCTTATTGCTATGGGAGGTATCCTGGACCATAGAAAGCACAGCATTGAAGCATGCTATCCCCTGAGCATCACACGTTCTGAAACTGGACTGGATTGCATGTTTTTGTCTACTGGTCGTTTATAGTATACGTATCATAGTGATATGTTTTTGAATACTGGCCCAAATCAGGAACTGAAAGCTGGGTTTCCAACAGTCCGTGCGATTTTGGAGCCTGCAACTTGCATTGCATCAACCAGCCTTCAGGTTATATTATACCCAAAATGTAAATATTATTGAGATTTAACCCAACTTCCAGGCACTATCCTTGAGCCACTGGCCGCCCAAGGTAGTTCAGTCCTTGACGAACTTGTTCAATGAAGGCATCGTGATGCCTGGCGGTGAGTGCATGCAGTACGCTGTTTGTGATCTCAGAGGAGATTGGAAATGGCAACAAGAAGCTTTAATACATATTATCAAAGTTTCCCTTTGGTGGTGAGTTCCTCAAATCTATGGCCCTGTTCCTTTTTCTTCTCTTCATGCAAATAGGAGCGACTTTTACTTAACAGGTTTATGACCAATATCAGGAATGGCTACAATTGACCTGCCACTACTTGTGCACTAGCATTTGCCACCATTGCAGGGCCATGAAACCCAACTTGGTGAAAGCCCCTTCGAAGCTTGATGATGAATTCCGCCACAACACGGAAAGCTTTCTCAACGAGTGTTGCAAACATGGTGACCGACAGAGACCCTTTGCCGAGTTTAATGGTAGCATGTTTTGTTCTTTCCTCAAAATTATATATATATACATGTAGGGGGGTCGACAATTTGTTGTCAGAAGAATGCGGTGAAGGTCCTTTGCTTCAGTTGCCTTCGTTCAGAGTACAGTGCATCCGCTGGGATGGGATGCACATTGTCAACCTGGGGGTTGACTTATGGGTATGTGCAAGTGTTATCCGCAAGGTCATGGAGTATGAAGTCGAGCTTTTTGGAAGCCTTGCTCTGGAGGAATCAGATCGGCTTATGATTGCTTATGGAAGGTTCAGGGAGTGGACTCGGGCAAACCGAATTGTGTGCTTAAGCCTGTTCAACATGACTTTCATCCGGCACCACTAAAATCAATATCTGTTGATTAGAAGCCAGTTCATGGGTTTGTGCTGCATTAGATCCACATCTGAGGCATTCAATGCCTAAGTTTCGACCTTGGCGCCTGAGATCACGAAACCACCCCTGGCCTGAATTGCAGAGCAAGGCCTACAATGTGACTAGGCTGTTCATAGTATTTACAGTAAATTCATTGGTGGGGCCCAAACATCACCTGTTGACCCGTCAATGACTGATCCCTGGCCTCTGCCAACACCATGGCAGGTGCATCCATGGCTAGAGCTGGTTGCCTAAATCAATATACAGTAGTATTGAACGGGCTGTGTGCCAGCTGAGGCTCGCTGTGTGTTGGCCTGGCTTTGCCATGAAGTGGTTCTGCTGGCCAATGGTGGCCAATATGTGCACGACAGGTGGATGCCCCTTCTTGCATCATGTACGTGACTTCACTCAAAGCGTTTCTAAAACTATAGAAGCTGAAACGGGGTTTGTGTTCGTCCTTAAAAGTAGAAGATTTACCATTTATCGTGCAAAACTTTGTGATCCTAGGTTCCACCTGGCTGAATGGCATCGGAAGACAGAGTTGCTGGGAAGGTACCTCAGTCCAGAGGATGCTATGGATCTGCAACGGGAATGTGATGGTTGTTTGACACACTACTTGGTCCTCAGCCATATGGCCGTGAATGCTGGTGAACTCTTGTTTCCCATCCGACCCAAGCTACATGTGGCTAGCTTTCATTTCAATAATTTTGGGTTCTTACGAATCAAGCTCCCTGACACATTCAACCCATCTTCTCAAGGGAAAGAAGTCAATCACCTGTGCCATGTAAGGCATTCCAAGAGATAGCTCAGAGTCAAAAAGAGGATGGTAACTATGCTGACAAGAGACAAGCTTTTTATTCTTAAGTTGTAAACTGTGTTAATGTATTGTTTGTCGTGTGCCTTTGCTAGTGGTGGTCAAGGTATCAACCATCGATTTTATCAGGGGTATCACCCGGAAGACTTCATTGGCAAGGTTGCAAATATATGCAGTGCTGGCTCCAATACAAACCTAGAGTTTGTGGCACTCAAGCGTTTCTTTGTTGGGCAACTTTGTTTTGAATATGGCAAAGATTTATAGTTCTTTTGCTGGGATTCATTGGCAAAACCATATGCACACAGTCTTGCTGTGCTGCATGTGGTGTGCTGCAGGCAAAATGGCCACCACAATCTGGCTGATGGTGACAGCGAATCGAGTGGAGTGGATGATCGATAATTAGAATCAAACAATGTGCAGTGGGGATTGTACAGCATATCTTGTGCTACCTACCTGGGGCAAAGTTGAAAAGGCTTGGGAGTTGGAAGATTGAGCCTGGAGACAGCTCTAAAACCAATTTGTCAACAAATTTGGTCCTACAATTGTATGTTCATGATACCTTGATGGCTGTTTTCAGGCAAGGCGGTGGGCAGAGTGACAGGGTTGTGTGCGTTAAAACCGTTCCTTTTCATCAGCATGGTCGCGGGGTATGCAACACGTTTGGAGTTGTCCAGCATGTGATTCACATTGCGATCACCTTCTCAACGTATGTTTGGGATCCTCTGGGAAGCAGTAGTCCGTCCACACCTGCAAATGTCACGTTCATTCATACCTCCACTTTGGCTGAATCCCCCCAAAAAATATCTATACACCCTAGAGTCTGCACATGTCACCATGCCGGGCCTGCTTCCTTGACAACATCCGCAGGAGTGGAGGCACCTGAACCCATGGCGCAAACAGGAGCAGCAAGGTTCACGGGGTCAGCTGAGCGTATTTCGCACAGACTCGAGCTTGATCCGGCGGGGAAAGCGAGCGGGTGACGAAATATCGGGTGCATGGAAGAACATGATAGTGGAAGGTGAGAACCTGCGCAAATAAATAAACATGTTGGGTATTCTGAATTGTACCGTACAATTTATAGTGTATATTATATAGTGGGCATATATACACGTAATATTGTTGATGTAGAGAGAGAGAGATGGATTTTATCAATGCACCCCAACACACCACTAAGCTGAAGTAACTAAGCAGTCATTCAGTCAGTGAAAACACTGATCCGTATTCCCACAGTGTCTGCTGCAAAGGAGGTCCGCAAATTGTTTGACATCAAGCATTTTAACATCGATCGATGATGATCGATGCGTCCAAGGTCTGTCTGCCATGGCTGGTCTATAGGAATAAAACCATCCATGGTTTGGGGTCCTTGGATATTTTGGTACAATCCCCTGATTGTTCCTGCGAAGTGAGGAGTTGGGCCATCATGCTCTTGGAATTATCCCCATCAGACCGGACACCTGTGCTCCCGGCACCGTGCCGAAGGTGCCGTGCGCACGGCACCTGCGGCACGGCATTCCGGCGCGTCCTCTTCACCAACCAAGACAGATCTGTGTGGAACCCATGGACCAACGGCTTGAACAGGAAAATAAACAAATGTACCACCGAGTCCCACGTCAATTGTGGAACACAGGGACTGTTGTGAACAGGGACTGTTGTGGAACACATCTCGATGTCACACCCAATGTCACGCGCGCGGCGGCGTGCGGCCAGAGGACGTCCTTTTTGCCGATGTCATCAGCGGCCGCATGACCATGTTCACATGGGTGAGTTTGCCGGGTGCTTGAGAAAGTGTTTGGTATCACTGCTTTTAGGGTTTAAAAGCTTGTCTGGGGGGATTCTACAGGTGTGGCTGGGGATGTTCCTGTCTGTTGAAACAAAGAGCCTACAGCGATGCTGCCACTGCTGAATCACAAGGAATGGATGGGTGCTTCCAGCAAGTGTCATATTGTATACTATGGACATGCAATATGATCACTTAAAATAGGCTCATCTGGATTCGGATTCCATATTGTACCATGCATAGGTTATATTAATTGATCGATGATAGGAGAGACATGCGAGCTTCAAGTCACAAATTCACTAAGACGTCTGTTTGTTGTTTTGTTCTTTAAACCAGCATGATTCCAACACACCAATTGTTTCAAGCCGCCAAACAAATGCTCTCCGAACACATCACCAGTATCTTCGAAGTTGCCAATTCTAGGCCTTAAGGACCGTGGACCTGGGTTGCTGGGTCGGTAGCAACCGACCAGAATGACTCATGCGAACATCAGCCGAACGGCCGATCTCCCACCCTCAAGTCCAACTTTCGCGGACGTCGCAGGGGGGAGAGCGACAGGTCGATGAGAACTCCCCGTCCGCGCAGGGCAGCGCAGTTGTGCCAAAAAGACGACAAACAAACAAACAAACAAACAACATACAGCACTTCATGACCTGCCTTCAGGCACTTCATGACCTGTTGAACTCATAACACAAGCTCTGCACGCCAGGAGGTTCCAAGTGCAAACCTCGAAGGTCCCTTTCGCATCTTAGTCCCCTTGAAAGTCCGTCTCAACGTCTCTGCCAGGTCATCGACTTACCCTTTCTCTTGCCTCTCGCAGTCTTTTCGCGAAACATCAGACCTCCGTTGAAACCGCTCAGATCCTTTTCGGTGTTCAGGCCATGAGGATGTCCTGCATCAACAAGAGAGTGGTGCGTCCCAAGGCTTCCTCCGGCAGCAGGGATGGTGAAGCACACGCGGTCACAGTGAATATGCATATATTTTTTTTGTCACATGGTTGATGAGTTCAAATGTCTATGATATATCAACATCAAGACGAATGACGATGACATCCAAAAACTACGTATTTGTTATTTATATGTCCATAACATGTGTATAATATATTGATGTATATTGTACATACGTTGGAAATGCATGTTTGACTCTAGTTTTGGATCAGGATCACTTGAAATTTGGCTTGGCAAGGGATGCCATAAAAGGTGTTGTTTTGGTTCGTGATACACAAAGGTCTCAAAGAAACGACAAACGCAACCCATTCCGATTTCGATCCACAGGTCCGCCTTTGCCGTTCAAATCTACTCACTGGGGTAGGCGCAAAGTCACTGCATCTGCGCCAAATGTATCTTGATTCATGTCAAATAATTCACCAAGTTTCTCAAGTCTTTGGGGTTTGTTAGGGTTTCACGGCCTCGAAATACTTGAGACATTTCATCACATACAGTGATTGAAAGCCTAGGGTGCAGAATCACTGATCATGTTGTTCAAACTCCCAAACATGGGAAAATTGCTAGACGCCAGTCTGATCCAACAAAATGTCGAACAATCTTGTTCTGACGAACATTTCGGGTAGATTTCCGTAGATGGAGTCAGATTTGCTATAGAGAAGGTTTGCAAGTTCCCAGTTTCAAAGTGCGCAATGCTATAACTTTTTGCGCGCTGGCTACATAGCTCGAGAAATCCGCGCGTGTTGACCCCGCAAAATAGACAAATCAAAGGTAAGAAAACGATCAGCCCCGCTCAAAATACAACGAGCCCCGATGATGAGCCTTGGTCTCTTTCGATCCTCTTTTGTGCAAACGCATGCAACACCGTCATTTTAAAATGGCTCGAATGGCCCACCACACAATTTCGGCGCCCAACGCGCCAACAACACGGAGGTTGCCTATTTTGGTAGCGAAGCGCTTCAACACACCAAGTTTATCCAATTTTCAGGTGAGTTCAATTCCTAAAGGCAAAACACATAGGCCATCACGTGTCGCAAAGGAACCCTCTGATATAAAGCCTTGATTCAATATGCATGCTGTCCTTCGTGAGTGAGAAACCCCTGGCTGCCAGCATGAAACTAAGTGTGAACAAATACGACAAGTCCACACAAGGTCGTCAACAGCCTTTTTGGGCAACCCAAACATGGGCATCCCAAATCGGACAAGGAAGCTACTAGGAACAAGAAGCTACTAGGGGCTCCTGGCCTTACTACTGGGAGCAAGGACGCTACTAGGACCAGGAGCAAAGGGCATCGCTACTAGTAGCAAGGATGCAGTACCTACCTGACTTCCTCCATCAAACAACCAACGACCTCCCGCCTCCATGGCTTTCTTGGCGAAGTCATCCGGCAGGTCGTTGCGGGCCTTGGTGATCAACGTCTTCCTGAGTCCGGTGCGGGCTCGGCCGTCTGAGGACGACGCCACTCAGTTGAGGAACGTGTCGTGGAGTTGATGATGTTTCTCCAAGAATAGGAAAGACTGGGTACGGTGAAAACAATGGTTACAACAACAACAACAACAACGACGTTAACAACAACAAAGTCAAAACTAAATCTACCCAATATACTCTGCTAAAATCTCAGCTTTATGGAAAACATCACCTATCTCGCAATCCTCTTCCCATCCACGACGCGAAGTCGGACGCACCTCTCAGTCCCTCTCAGTCCCCCCGTGGAGCCAGGGTGGGTGGCTTTCGGCCCCACCAAAGTTCGCCTACTCAGAGGCCTATTATAGGCCTTTTGGTAGGGTAGGGGCATCCAGAACGGGTGATTCCAGCTATTATTGCATGTCATGTTGAAGAGAAAAAACGACAAATGGCTACAACAACAACCTGGAATTCCTTGAGTTCCATCCTGCTCCGAACCGCTATGTTGAACCAAGGATCCCGTCGCATTTCACAGGTTCCACATCCTTCTTGTCCCTTGGAATGCGCCGCCCAACTGATCGAATTTGGTGAGAGAAGGACATTGGCTTTGACCAATTGAGACAGCCTCACATCCCTGGGATTTGAACGCCCAACATTGGCAACAGTCAACATGGGGTAATGATTTGCTTTGACAAATCGGAATGCAAAGAGGAACTTGATTTAACACATAAGATAGCGGAAGGACTTTGCTTGTTCTTGCCTGTGTTGCCGTCGTTTCTGCTGTGGTCTTTGTCGTTGTTGTGGTCGTCGCGGTGGCATTTGAAACGATTCAACAAGCAACGGTGCTTTGGCACAGCATCGAAACAATAAACACCCCTGTGTTGGCACGACTCAAGCACCAGTGCAGAAACAATTGCATGGCCATGCATGGCCTATATGTAAACTATGGGACACCAAAGGATAGGTGTGGTCTATTCCTATACTTCTCCACCTACTCTGTGACTCACCAACCTGGAAGTCCCTTTCTATCTAAAGGAAATGAGTCTTCCTGCTCGGGATTAAGTTCACTTCCATGTTTTCTGGCTGGTGGTTTTGATGTTGACACGGCAAGAAACATATGCTTCCTGTAGTGGTTTCGAGGCAGACCGTGAAACGCAGGATGTCGTTTGTGCCACCCACTACGGTTAAGCATCAAGAGGGTCCCATCAATTGCAAGGTGTTCATTTCAGAGCTTTTCTGGGAAGGTGACTCCTTGTCAGATCTACCAAGCTGGTCACAAGCAGTCAATGTGAACAAGGGTTGAATGGTTTCAAGTTGAACCTCTATGGAAAAGAGATCCAAGAAAAATCAAGAAACACATAATTAGGTTGACACAACCAGTTTGTCACCGCTCTCAGAGTTCGTCTTTCACCTCACTAATTAGTCCTGTTGAATAGCACCGCCTAAGAAAAGAGGAAAGAACAACCTCCTTCTTTCACCGCCCTCACTGTGCCTCACTCCATGGACTCCCCCATCGCGGATGGCTCCGGAACGGGTCTCCGGACGGCTCGTCTTCGGTTTCCTGCGGGCGCCGAGTTTCTGCGCCGCGCGCTCCAACCGCTGGGAGGCCGCGGTTTCAGTGCGACTCGACTTCACCCAGATCCCAGATCGGGCGCACCGGTCTTTGAGGGGAACGGTTTCTTGGACAAGAACAAACACCTGGGCTATGAATGGCTCCATGGCCCCTGGTGACCGGTCGGAAGAGCTTGGCTCTTAGATGGGAAGCGATCTGTGCCGTTGAAGGGGGACTCGTTTGGGTGAAAAGCCAATGCCAACCACAGCAAATGTTCAGAGGCCAAAACATGTGGAATTCTTGCAACATCCTTAAAATAGACTTTTCTTGCATCTAAATTGTGTCCCTCAAAGGCCTCCAGTGACCACTCGCCTAAGAACGTCTCTGTTTCACCAAATGCTCTACACCTAGGACTTCTCAACATGTTGGGAACATCGTGGAATTCGATTCATGGAATCAGATCAAAACAGGGCATCTGATCGAAACGTTCGACCATGTTCGACCTGAATAATCCGATCTCGTGTTTGCTTTCGTTGGACAGTTGGACGACTTTTCCAGTTCGATGTGGAACTTTCCTACACGTCTTGACTCTGTGAGGGCACATATCCAAAAAAAGGTCATTCACCGTTGGCGCCACACTACATGGACTTCTCAACCCACAGCTTGGTAGGAGGTGAGAAAAACAAGGACCAACACACACAACATGTATTTGTATATCGTAATGTATCATATAGATTCATAATATTCATATAGTAATTATAATATGTCAATCTTTGCCGAGTTTAAGTTTAACTTCAAGAATCATCCAAAAAGTTACCGATGGACTTCCCTAACTTGTGGGAAGCCCCTTAGATATTCCAAAAGCTTCGTCTCGGCGAACATAGCACGCACGGCTGACAGGTCGCCGAGCTCGCCGTGCCTTCACGTAGTAGTCGTCGCAAAAGATCTCCCCGCACAATTCCTTGAGACAAAGGTCAAGTGGGTTGATGACGCCCGGATTGGTGGGTCTAGTATGGCTGCTTTGACCCATATCATCCCATATCTATCCAAACATACTGGCACATTATCATGAGCCCAACCTGAATGGACGTGCAAGTCGCAGTTTCTCGATCTTGAACATGTCAAAGTCTTGTTGAACAATTGTTCACAACACGTGGCTCATCAAAACCCTCTTCTCAGCCACAACACCAAAACAGCATCGTGTGATGAGGCTCCTCAACGGTGGCTTCATCCCAAAGCCAGCAAGCACGCTTCTTGACGGCGGCTGGAGGGATGTAGGGAGGATCAGCTTCGCATTGATCCTACCAGCGCAGATTTTGGCAGGCAGGGCACCCTGCAGGGCAGTACAGTACCAGCCCTGGCTGAGGTTGTGAGTCGTGTGTCGTGTGTGCTTTGGGGCACTGTGCACTAAGCGCTCGTTGAAGAGACAGCTGACCAAGAAACCAATGCTGTAGATGTCTCTACCAGCTGACAAAAGTTTGGGTGTCAAGGGCATCTGGCAAAGCAGCAGTTTTGCGGCATGGAAAAACTATACTAACTATACGAATTCTATCGAATTCTGCTTCAATGGTCAATGAAACATGTTGCAAGGGTCTCTGTCCTTGGTGTCTCTTTGGAAGATAACAGAATGCGTTTCAACGTTGAGACCTCACCACGGTCGTCGGCCAGGGGATTCTCCCCAGTATAGTTTGGGGTTTGAGGCTTTGGCTTCAGTTTCCTAACTTATAACTTTTCCTAGCCCTTTGGCTAAGTCTTTGCATAGGGACCTACTGAGGTTGCTGATAACACCTCTTGAGGAGGTACTTGGACCCAAAGGTAGAAGTCTTCACAAGTCCCTGAGCAAAGTCCCCGCCTGAGCAAACTTCAGGCCCACTGGCAGCAGGCACTTCCAAGCCTCCACTCAAGAAAACCAGTGCAAACAGGAGAATGCAAAGAGTCAGAGTTCTGGTCCACAGTAGTTAGGGAATGATGGGATGAACCATACCAGTACCCCTTGGTCCCCAACAAACATTCTGGTCCCACTGCACCAAAAAGACACATATACAAACATTTAACAAGGTGTCCGAATACAACCCATGTTTTTGTTGGATTCTGCATGCAGTCTGGTACCAACTAAGCCATCGAGGCCCCCAGGTCAACCATTCCTTCGCGAACCGATGGTGACTGGAAACTCCAGCAAATCGAGTTTCGCGTGCGCCGATCAGCTGCTGGGACGATCAACCAATATGGCACAAGCTTGTGGAACATCGGATGTGGACCCATTTCCACTGACTGGTGCGACTCGCAGGGAATGAGGGTGGCTGGATCCAATAGGATCTCTATTGGGGGCGAAACTTCCCTTATTCCCTACGAGTCGCATTAGTCAGTCCAGCAAAACGCACCAGTCCTGGCGTTGTCACGTTTGATGAGAGCAAACCGTCCTGATACACCAGGACCCGGGTCTGGGGGGGTTGATGGACATCCCTTCGAGGACCCTGGTACTCCTCCTTCAGCTTCGTCAGGGCCTTTTCTTTGTCTTCCTCCTTCTCCCAGTCGCCCTCCTGCATCAGCAACCTCGGGTCAGGTCCCGCAGGGACGAAACCCCCGAAACCACATCATCTTCCCAGAACTGTTGTTTACATGAGAACATAGAACACTTGCTTCGAGTGTTTGGATTGGATGGAGAACCGTTCACCTTAGGGTGGAGAACCTCCATCACCAGAGCCTCAGGCTGGCGCTCAAAGGTGATTGGAATGGGGATGAGGGAAGCTATTTCAGGCAAGAACACCTAGTAGCGTCCTTGCTCCTAGTAGCGATGCCAGGAGTCCCTAGTAGCGTCCTTGCCACTTTTTGCGATGCCAGGAGCCCCTAGTAGCGTCCTTGCTCCTAGTAGCGATGCCAGGAGACCCTAGTAGTGCCCTTGCTCCTAGTAGCGATGCCAAGAGCCCCTAGTAGCGTCCTTGCTCCTAGTAGCGATGCCAGGAGCCCCTAGTAGCGTCCTTGCTCCTAGTAGCGATGCCAGGAGCCCCTAGTAGCGTCCTTGCTCCTAGTAATTAGCGATGCCAGGAGTCCCTAGTAGCGTCCTTGCTCCTAGTAGCGATGCCAGGAGTCCCTAGTAGCGTCCTTGCTCCCAGTAGCGATGCCAGGAGTCCCTAGTAGCGCCCTCGCCCCCAGTAGCGATGCCAGGAGTCCCTAGCGTCCTTGCTCCTATAGTAGTGATGCCCCTAGTAGCGTCCTTGCTCCTATAGTAGTGATGCCAGGAGCCCCTAGTGGCGTCCTTGCTCCTAGTAGCGATGCCAGGAGCCCCTAGTAGCGTCCTTGCTCCTAGTAGCGATGCCAGGAGTCCCTAGTAGCGTCCTTGCTCCTAGTAGTAAGGCCAGGAGCCCCTAGTAGCGGCCTTGCTCCTAGTAGCGATGCCAGGAGCCCCTAGTAGAGTGCTTGCTCCTAGTAGTAAGGCCAGGAGCCCCTAGCAGCTTCTTGTCTCTGCGTGCCGTGTTTTTTTCTCTTTCTTTTTTTCTCTTTCTTTAAACATGACACAGCGGAGGGGATCTACCCGGGATCTACCACAGAATGACCGGACGCCGGATCAGGACGTTCTGGAGTTGTAGATCCGCTGAAGTAGCTCCGCGCCAGACTCCAAAAAGCAAAAACTGTCTGAACCACAAGCAGGATCCGTGAAAGTATGTTCAGATACTATCACCAACAAACTACCACAAAATACAACAAACACACGGTCAGCTTCGGATCTCTCTGCTTGCACTCTTTTCAGCCCTCCCCTCCTGCCACGGCCGGCGTTTTTCCGCCGCCCACTCTCGAGGCGTTCAGCCAGCGGCGCTCCGCCACAGACGGCTCGGCCCAAGGTGGGCGGATTGTGCCACTGACCGAGTGACATCTTGCCATCCAACTTCTCGGGTGTCTTGCTCTTGATCTCCTCAAAACATGCGGGACAGGCGGGACAGTGAGGCACAGGGTTGGAGAATGGTTTCAGAGTGCAGGTTCCAGGTTCTAGAATTGTCCGAAACCATGACAAGGGGCCAGTTCTCTTGTTCTTCCTTGTCCTTGGATGCGATCCTTGTTATTCACAGCACCGAATTCGTCCAGCATCGGAACATTTGGGGAGATCCTGTCCTCGTCGTGAGTCGTCCAGCAGTCGTACGGAGTCGTGACTAGCAGTCATGCTCAGTGACTAACACCAAACCAGGTCGGGTCCAACGGGTCCAAGAAGACTCCGAAGCTGAAGCTTCAAGAAATGTCTTGACGGTTTTTTCTGCCAGCTCCCCCCCTCCCTACTTAATTAAGTAGGCGCCTACTTGATTAAGGGACTAGTGACTAGTACTAGCTACTAGTACGCTACTAGCACGAACGCAGGATAGCTCACGCTTCAAGGAAGCTCCCCCCGCCAAAGGGCGGGGAGGAGCTTCCTTGAAGAAGCGCTCGCACTAGTCATTTGGTTCCAAGACTCCGAAGCTTCCAGAAACTTCTTGACCTCTTCTTCACCCCAGAGCCACACCGCATTCTTCATCTCTTCTGGCCGAAGGTGGAGAGGGATGATGCGTTGGACCGCGGACGTCCGGACAGCGGACCCAATAAAAAATAGAGAAAGTGGAGGGTCTTCCAGGCCGGCTTGAATCTGCATGAATCTGCTGGTTGCACTAGTCTTGCACAGGACATCTGCTGTATCTTCCTTCCCTCGGCTATTTACTGAAATAGACGGAGGCTTTGTCTCGTTGCGGTGCCTCGTCAGTGCCAATCCTTTTGTTTCAGCCTGCAAACTCTAAAGCATTGCTAGATGGCTCGTTCTCACAATGGCTGTTCCACAAAATTGTGCCGAAATAGGACACACACGGACAAGAAACAAACTAATTGTTCCAGGATGCCCATATTTCTTTAGCCTTCTTTAGGCTGTCCGTTTTCTGGCAGCCGCAGGTTGCACTCCAAATTAAGGGGCAAAAAAGAACATGGAGAATCTGCTCATGGAGCATACCGTGACCTGCAACAAAAATGGCCGTTTTGCCAGCATTCTCTGGCCTGAATACTCCGTGGCACAGTAAACCACCTTGAAACTTAGCAGCATCCATGACCAAAATCCATCCCACGGAACACCCACCTGTATCCACCTGTCACATACGACCAACCTCTGACCCTCTTCCGACGATCGGTTTCACTCTTCGGTCCAAGCGGCTGCCACGGGTGCCAGCCGCATCCATCGCCTTGCCGAGCTTCATGGCACTCTCCGCGTCCAATCCTTCGGTCCGGTGCGGTCGGAACGGGTTTCCACCGTGTGGGACGTCATGGCGGACGGGTGTGGTACGTCATCGTAGCTTGAACATCGAAGGGTGTCGGTTTAAAGGGAATGAACCACACCCTTTCTTGAAGCCCAAAACAATCAAAAACACAAAAACACATCTGGCTTCGATATCGCCAGTGGGATTTCTATCTGCCGATGTATCAGCTTCCTTTGAGCCAAATCCATGTGGCTTGTGCAGCCAAGGCTATCCAACACATGCCCGAACCCAATTAGAAGTATGCTGTAAGGTCTAGCCGTACAAGGTTCCATCAACAATCTTGCTCCAAATTCCGGCAACTAAAAACCACAAGAACAATGGTGTATAATAATGTATAATGTCGTAGAATTTCTGCCGGAACGTCTTGGTCGTCCGCCATGATGGCTACTGCTCCTACAGTAGCACCTGTGGCATCCAGGGCTCCCTTGATGAGTTCTTTCAACTCCTTCTCATCCATCTTGCCTCAGCTAAAAACGCCCAGAAACCGGATCAACACGTTTGTTCTTCTTGCGGAACTTTGCATGGGCGTGACATGTGAAAGTTCTCTAAAACACGCACCCAAACATACCCAAACACATCTGACAACAGGATGGCAACAACATGCTTAGGCTTAGACCCTAGACGTTTGAACCAGGTAGAAATCTCTTCCATTCAGTCCGATATCTACTAGTTATCTCAAGGGGATGTAGAGACAGCCCAGATCAATGTCAAGGTTCCGCTCACTCCAAGCGTCCCAGTGCAGCGGGATCGTCCTTGCTCCTAGTAGTACGGCCAGGAGCCCCGATCGTAGCGTCCTTGCTCCTAGTAGCGAAGCCCTTTGCTCCTAGTAGCATCCTCTAACAGTGCACCAGTAGGGAACGGCTAGGCTATGCTACCGCAAGACAGTCGAACAGCTCTGGTATCGGCAACAAGCACGCACATGGCTCCAACTGGAACAAGACTGGCGGGCACTGGAGGGTCCTTCCCGATTGGCACAACAAGAAAACTGCTTCAAGACTCCACTAGAAGCCTCTTCTTTGTCGTCTTCCTAGGGGTCGCCAGGGCCCTCAAGAGAAAAAAACATACAAATCAAATAGCTTCCCTTGAAAAGGATGCCCTTGAGCGCTACTCTAGGACCTAGGACAAGACTGCACTTTCCTTTTTCACAAGCTCTCCTGCACCTGCTGCTCAACATATCCTTTCCCTCCTGTCTCATTTTTGAATTGCCAAAGGATTGCCATCAGGAATACCATTCTGCAAGGATAGATTTGGTATTCCTGCAGGAACCTCTACGACTATGCAGAACCTCTACGATTGGAGTTGCAGAACCCTTCCGAGCCACTTGCTGCTGCAATAGCTTCGCTTGAGGCGCCTCCACCCATGGTCGACGATTCAAAAACGTCCTAGGAGGCCACGTGGGCGACGTTCCAGGGTGTAGAGCATGGAAACCACCCGTTCGTTCGTTCGTTTCAACGGACCGTAGGATCGAATGGTGTGAACCGACAGTTACCCTGCGACGGCGGCTGAATCTTCTCTGCGACAGTGACCAGAACAACATCTCCAGTCTTGGAATTATGGTAGGACATTGGCGGTTGTGCTTCGGGAGGACAAGCCTCCTGCCATAAACAAAAAGCTTTGGGAACATGGAAAATCAGGAAAGGATTTGCTATCGCACCAGGGCATTGTGGGTGGAGGGAGCAAGCAGCAAAAACAAAGATGCTGCAGCCTCCAGTCAAAAAGCTGCGATGGAGCACACATCAAACATAAGCTTTGATATTCTGCTCTATCTACAAACGCCTGTTTAAAGTTTGGGGCAATCATTTTAAGTCGAGCTAGTAAAAAGCAACAAACAATAAACATGGGCAGTGGAACAAGTCGCGGGATGATTGATGGAATCACAAGCTATTCACAAATTACAACAAATTGCAGGCTTTATATTTTTTTTAATAGCATGGCAAGGGTAAATCAATTGTTGACTTATCATGTCTCCTGTAGTGGCTTTCCACTTTAGGTCCTCTAGGTCTCACCTGTTAAGAGGTGGTGCAACCACAAAGATCTGCAACGCAAGACGTGTTTTCCACTTCCATGTTTGTTGGAAAAGAGGCTACACTTTATATCACCTCCCTAGCTGGTGTGCCTCTAACCAAAGAACGAACACTCCACCTGAGTGTGTATTCGGAAAAATGGTCATCTTTTTGGGGCCATGCCATCCACTTCCATGATTGCTTCTTGTTACTACTAGTAAGGCACCTGTTACTACTAGAATCTTGTTACTACTAGTAAGGCACCTGTTACTAGTAGCGTGGCACTTGTTACTACTAGCTTCTTTTTGTTTCAGATTATTTCACAGAGTGTTAGATTGTATCGGAAGGTCCCACCAAGCCGCGCAAACGAGAAGAGGCCAAGTCGTGGATTGGAATCGCGCTGAGCCAATGACTGAGCTGGCGAGCGGAAGATGCAAAGGTCCAAACAATCCGAGTCAATGATGATGTCACAATAATGTCATGTCGAGGGCAAAAGCCAAGGAACTTGTACAGAATTCTTACTGGACCCTTCTGCCACAATTGAAGTCTCACGGCATGCTTCAAAGTAGGTTTCAGGAAATAATAATAATAAAAGTGTGCCTTTAGTTATCTATATATGATGTTATGTGTTTTGCATCACCTGTCTAATACGTATACACTAAGCCCTCAGCAAACGCTATGAATGTCTTGTGCAAACATGTCACGGGATTCCACTCTGAAGCCTCTCAAACAATCCTGAAATATCCTGAACATTGCACTTGAAGCTCAGCAACCTCTGGTTTCAGGAGAAGCCGAACAGCTCGTGTCGCCTGTCTCAGTCCCACCAAACACCCCAAACACACAGCCGCACCTCGAGCTGCCCTGTTGGGCAGCGGGGTGCTTTGTGCGTCCTGGTTCGGCGGCATAAAAGAAACTCATCCAGGCTTTGAGAAACAGAATGAAACATTTATTGTTACTTTTCTAGATATACACTCACAAAATCTCGCATACACTTAGTTGAAGATACATTCACTGGTCAAAATGGTTGTACCGGTCACCATGTCTCAAACAAACAAAGAACCAAATCAACCAAAAACACGCAACATGCAGGATGGTGATCTTAGCACCACTGGATTACATCCCCGAGAACATCCCCCTGGATCACATCCCCCACCCTCCCAAGACGAAGCACCGGTGTCCTCAGCATCGACTAAAGACGAAGCTGGCTTGGACATGGCTAGGTGGCCATTTTAGCCAACTGTTCGTTCTTGCTTGCTTTGTGTATTGTGAGTTGGTTCATTTGTTGGGTATGCTGCATCTGGTGTGATGTTCAGAGAAATTCTGTCGGATTCCTTCAGGTTTTGTTTCGGGGTCGGTCAAGATAAGAGATATGGGAGACTTGAGCTCCTCTCAAGGAGTGCGACCTACCCGAAGCGAAAGAACATAATGTGAGGGTTTAGGAGGACGGTTTTTCAGAACTGAAGACCTGTTGTTCCTCGACTCAGTTACAAAAGACTGTTTTTTTCTTGAAGTCCTGGCAACCAGGCATTGAATTATAACGATTTTAGAGAAAGGCCTGCAACTGAACCATCATCCAGTGAGGATATATACATATATACCCACGCTTTGGCTTTGTTGCCTCCAGCTGTGCTTTGTCAGGCTCAGCAAGTCACCACGTTGGTGAGTCCAAAAGCTGGGTAGAGATCCTCGTCCAAAGCCTTGGCACATCTCTTGAAGCCTTCTTTCATCAATGGAGAAGGGGTTAGTGATGTAGTTATAACAATTATAGTTACCAGCTGCTTCCAAGGGGTCACCAATGGATATCTCCACACTACTTACAGGTCTCCATTGGGCACCCCTTGGAAGCGCTAGGTATACAATGTTTAATAATGAACACAAGTATATCTCCCTCATCAGCTGACAAACATATCCCAGGGTGGTCACCCCCTGTCTTTAGATGGGGTGCCGTATCCAACGTCCACTTTTTTGGGCAACCCGAAAGGACCTATTAAGGGTATCCCAGCCACAAGGTGAGCTCATCTACTGTCGCTCTGTTTTGAGGTGACTCTGGCGTCCAACATGTGCAATCCCATTTGAAGAAGAATGTCAAGCCAATCAAATTTGACGTTTCCTTGTCACGGCCGTTTCACATCAGTTGTTGCTGGATCACAGGGATTCTGAATATGTTCAGGTCGCTCTAAAAGTTTCGTAAAACTGAGTTGCATCATGTCGTGTCATGGCAGGGCCTTGTAGAACATCCGGATGAATTGCTGATCTGATTATTGAACTCGCCGACCGCCGGACGATTCCGAACGGCAGGCAAAACAGCAGATTGGGCCCCAACGACAACACCATACAGGAGAAAGGCTTTGAGTCGACTGGTTTTGAGTCTACTCGACATCCTGTCTAGGAGGGACAAGTTATATGGCACCAATGGTGCATGTGGTGGCATAGGAGAGCTTGTCTATGAACATTTGGTATGGTGCACCTCTTGGTCTTGAAGGCTGTTCCAACTAAACCAACAGCACCCGGAAAACAGGTAAAGTCGGTAAAGTGTGCATAGATGGGTTGCTACGTCGTGGTGATTGTTTGATTGATGTCAACCGTTTTAACCCACACATCTTGTTCTAAGGTACTGAGGCTACCTGCTTCGACTTGGCCGACTGAGCGATCTCTTTTTTTGAAGAGTTTCATTTTGTCCTCTTCAAGCACGAGGCCACGAAAAGCCAGGGGCATGCTTGGTTGCAAAGGTCACTGAACAAACAAAGCACCAAGAAGTGTAGCGATGTCAAATGATGATTGTTTCATCTCCAAGGGTGCCAATTTTGGTCAAAACATGTCAAATCCAAACTGGTGCCATGCAAAAGGGTCGAGTGCGCCTTCTCCGCCAAAGCTATTTCGACCAGTGCACACAGACTGGCCTATTTCGACGAGAAATCATCGACCTCACTGACTTGGAAAGGTCTATAATAGAGGTTGATCTGAGAGACTCACTTGGGTGTAGAAGTTGACAACCAATTTTGAGTGCCAACTGCTTTCGAGAAGAGGTGATGGTTAACAACTCATGCTTGATTTCTATAGGATCCGAAACCATGACATGGTTGACAACGATCGTACCAGACTGCAAAAAATACTCAAGACAATCAACATATTCGATACTTCTGCGGCAAGCCCACCGCTTAAATCTACCTTCGGACATCAGTTCCCTATCCCTACAAACCAAGTCATCCTTGAAACACAACAAAGTTTCCCAACACAAACTCGATCAAACTCGGATAGAAATTTTGTCTAGAGGAGCCGCGCCCATCATGCCCACGAGGCCCATTGCGGATCTCACGAGTCAAACCCTCTCTGCGAGATTGATTGAGCAAACCAGATGCTCCATGCATCTACTTTCCCTCTGCGAATGAACTGACAACCTGCTTCGCAGTGTTGCCATCATCTTGTGAGTCCAAGATTCCAAGATACGCCCGAAGGACGGATGTCTCCACAATCCCTTTGGTGCAAAACCTGAACCTCACACACTCATCTTACCCCCTGAGGACAAACTAAGAAAACGCTTCTGAAAAAGGGGGGGCCAGACTGTCAGGGGGTCCATCTGGGTCTTGGGATGTCTTGGGGTTCAGGTATGGGAAAGGTCCTTACGCTGGTTCCTTCGGTGCCATGTACCAGCACGTTGTAAACGCTCAGCATCGGCGGGCGTCAGCCTGGAGAGGTGGAATCGGCGCCAACAAATGGAGCGTACCGTTCGGATCCACCTGTTTGATCCCTCTTTGATCCTTTTTTGCACCCAAAAAACATCCGGATTCTCATTCTGATCCAACATGTCTGCCCAAAACACCGGGTGACGTAACGGAACCATGTCGGAACCTTCGGAGTGGCGGGTGTCCTTCCTGGCGGAAGGACCAAGACGTTCCACCGTTTTGGTCAGGGGAAACCGCTGGGTAAGGAAGACGACATGAACAAGGGAGTCATCTGTCGCTTCAGGTTCAATGGGACACTTTTTGAGAGTTCAAGGGGCGCCACCGAACGCAGCTCGACTCTGGACAGGACAGCACCGACTGGATGAATCCTGGTTTCCAGTTGGCGCAGGGGCCCTTTCCAGGTTATTCACATGCACACGCGAATGCATGTCCCACGACGCTAAAAAACGGGGCGATGCGTGCTGCGTTCTTTGCGCAAGCTCGGCGACCGTGGGCGAGTGATTGACCTCTCGAGAGCGGACCGTGATTTCAGCCCAGCGGACCGTTCGATAAGCCGATAGAAACGATGAAACGATCCCCAACAGGACGCAGAGTGAACTGGCGCGCTGAAGGGACAGCGGAGCTCTGTCGTCAATCAAACAAAAAGCTTGCAGAGTGGCAAAACACAGAGCTGGACATCCGGAGGAGGGGTTTGGGAATCGCGGTTCGGCAAATGGAACAAAGCCAGGAACTCCTGGCGCTCATGGTACCATGTTCTAAGCTTCGCTGCTGTTTCTGGTAGTACACACTTTCAAGACAAAACCCGACTAGGCAAACACCTGGATTTTGGTTTTACCCAAATACAAAGTTCGATCCATGTTGGGCATCCCTCTTCGTATCATTTCGTAATTAATTATCTACATTGCCAGAGTTTGTTCGTCGCAGTTTGCAAAACCCAGCAAGTCCAAAGGACAGGTTACTGTACACTGGTGCGTTACTAAAACACCGCTTAAACTGGTGCATTGACCCAAGGGGAAAGCTCATTGTTCTCCCGCGCCTGACGTGAGTAGTCTTCACGCCTAGCCACAGGCGTCACGCTGCGCGGTTTGGGACTGTGTCTTCCAAAAGCTACTGAAGATGAACTCTGCTGCTTCCATGTCTCTCGCTGGTTGAGTCCATGTGTCTTAGGTCCGACACCCAAACCAGGGCTCATACAGGATGGCTCAGGGATGCGCTCACTTGTTCAGACTGAACCATCCACTTGTCCAAGACAGGCTGTGCATGGGACCGTAGAACCGAGAGACCAAGCCGAACATGCCAAGCTGCATGCGATGCAGTTCAGTCCATCGCATGGACACATGCAGTTCCTGGACACGAGGTGTCACGCGTGGTGATCTAAGACATGCTCTTGGAATGGTGAAGGTCTTTTTCAGGAATTCTGTGACCCACCAGGTGATCCCAGTAGCCCAGGGCTACTCCCTCCCACCTTGAGGACTTCGTGTGGCGCACGCAGCGCCCAGCGGTTCCTGCTTCGGAACACCGAGATTTACACTCTGACTCATTAACATGGAAGTGTAAAATGGTCTTTTAGAAGACTACGTTCCTTTATTATGAACAAAGGGTTTTCCACTTCCATGTTCATGAGTGGGAGTGTATACAACTAGCCTGACTGAACCCTGACTGTTGATGCTCAGGCGGCCTGATTTGACAGTCTTTGACCCAACGTCTCGAAGTGGCGAAACTCCAAGCCGTTCGCATTCACAGCGAACGACGAAGCATAGCACGTCAAACAGATCAGTGGCGGAGACGGGAACACGATTCTCCTGTCCTGTCTGCTTCCAAAGCTTGACGAGCCGATTGCAAAGACATTCCAGGGCCTTGGTGACATCTACGGGCTATCGTGGCATTCGTGGCGGATCGTCTCCAGCATCACGGGCTAGGTGAGTAACATGTGTTGCAATCTATGCATCTCATAGCATGTTTTGATACATTAAAGAGCACAGTCAAAGACACTGTAAAACATTGTATAGTTGTAATTAAATGCGATTGGCTTTGCAATGGTCCGGCTTCCAAGGCCAAATCGCCCTTCACCGGATCCCACCCTGCATTTGCTACATTGGCATCGGTCATTGTTTGTGCTTGCATCACCGACGGATTAAAACCACAGCAAGCGTATGATGTTGAAATGCGTTAAACATACAACCAAACCTTGGTTAGGCCCTTGGGAGAAAAAGAATCCTCCCAGGATCTCCCAGGCCTCAAAGGACTTTGGGGGTGCATAATTCCAGAGATGACAGATGCGACGAAGAGTCTAGCCATCCGGGCTTGACGACCTGGCCCGAAGAAGGGGATTGATGTCTTCACACCCACGAATAGGTCGTTCAGCCCCAAAACTGACCAACCCCAGGACCCCCAGGTGGACCCCCCCAGGGGGACCCCCCACCCCCCCCCCCCCCAAGACCCCCAGGGGGTCCACTGCCACCTTCTCAGGTTCGGTGCGACTGGGCCCTCGCTTTGTGGATCCATCGGGCGATCGGGTGCCAAGTGGCGCAAGATGGGATCCGCCAGGCAGGCCTGGAGAACAGAAGGATGGACGTCGAGTGTGTATGTTGCGGAGACACCCAGGGGAAACCCCCCTAAACCCTAAACCCTAAACATCCTAAACCCTGGAAGAAAAAGAGAACATTTGCTTCACACAAATGAATTCGACCCACATCTTAGGTGGGGTAGCTACTGTAGATCCGTTGACTAATATGTCTGACTGTTGACATTGAATGATAGATCTTGATAGTATATAGGAACAAAAGCACTTGACGTGCAATGGCTAAATAGGCTAAAATCCAAGTATATAATTGTCCCATCCTTTTCTGTCGTGTTTAAGGCTACTACTTGGAGACTGTTCCACTTTATGGCCATGGGACTGCCATAGGCCATGTACAGTAGTTTGCTCTGATTGTTATCACGATCGATTGACAGGAAGTCATTATAGCAGTGCACTAAATTGAATTCCACTGGGGCATTACAATAACAACAGAATGCACCACGTGGTCAGTTAAAAACTGTTGAAACCCTGCGGACATTTGTGAAAGTCCTCGCTTTGTCACATCTTGAGTACAGCCCACACTGTAAACACCAGTTTATACCTTTCCCCTATTGGCATGGCCCTTCAATGAAGCGCACGTGGCTGTCAAACGAACCCTTTCCCCGTGGAAACGCAGGGTTTTAAGCATTCAATGTATCATCTAAGCATGTGACATCCAACAAGAAGACACAATGATGGCAACGCATCATTCATAGTATGTTAAGATTAAAATGCATCAAAGAAAACAACATCTAGCATTGGCTCGCGTTTCCTGAAAAGCTACATCCTACACTTCGAATGTTCCGCCTCTGGTGGAACATCATGCGCATTCAAGGCCAAGGGCAAGCAACGCTGCCGCAGCTCCTGTGCCAAAAGAGTGGTTGTCGACTCCAGTCTGGCACTGCTCTGGTGAGGAGAAGGAACAGGAGGGCTGAAAGACAACAAAAGCTTTAGTGGTTTCACAGTAGATGGCACAGACCCATGATGTCCTGTAGATGGGGGTCCACTACTAAACCGCTGTTACTTGGGAGCCCCTGCGCCATCTACTCTCAATCCACTATAGACAAATATTGTTGTGTAAGTCATCTATAGTCACATGAATTGACATATGACTTCTTTCGCAAAATGTCAACACCAATTCTATAAGCAATCCTGCTCTATTGAATTGCCCAAGGCAAAAGGGATATGTACCAACTGCCTCTTATCTAAACAAAAAACATCTGGCCAATTGTTGCAAATTGATCTGGCCAACTTCTTCGTCAATTTTCCTGCGACACAAGGCCTCTTTCTTCCGATCTAGTCTTGTTGGTCCTATGGTCCGATTGCCCAGTCAATGTTCCCTTCTCTTCTCAAACTCCAATCAAGTCCTAAAATGCACTACTTTGCTGATGCTGGCTTGTTGTCAGTCGTGCCTTTGGCAGTCTGTCCATTAGACTCATTGGATTAGTCGTTGGGAATCCTCATCATGAAAGAGATTTACAGTAATCTTCGGGATCTCATAAAGATCATAAAGAGATTGCATTGATTGGGGTGGAGCCGAGTCCACATTCTGATTCGGTTCTCAAACCTTCTGCAAGTCTCGAATGGTTTCTTTTTCATGCGAAGTTGACATAACAAAAGGAAGTATCTCGCATACTTTGTTGAGCCTTTCACATTCTTGTTGGGTGCTTAAAATGTGCGCCTGCCGGTCAACTCACACTGCACAAGAGCTCAAATTAGCTCCCAAATGCTCCCAGTCTTCTTTTTCGGTGTTGCGCCCCAAGCGGGACATTTAGGATGATCTGGAAACTGGAGGCTTTGATTACTTGGGGTCCACCTACAAAAGGCTTCGAATAGGTGACCGGTCAAACTGTCAAGTGCAAGCACCTTCTTATCGATCTGGACTTCTTTGCGTGACAAGTAAGGCTAGGCTAGGTTCTATTCAAATGAAACATCCCAGATTTGGCTGAAACCCAAGAAACACATAGAAAAACATACCAGCGCCGAACACCAACAAAAAAACACAGTTCTATTATGAAAAGTAGTAATGGCCTCCAACCTACAGCAATAGCGATGGCCTCCACCTAGTAGTAATGGCCTAACACGACGGTCGTCTTCCCGGCTCTCCAGCGGCGGCAAGGGCGGCGGCACGAAGTCGTTGTGTCCATGGCGGCTCGCCAGCGGACGACGCCTCAGGAGGTCTAGACGGCGGTGACGACGGTCCGTCTACCGCGTCGGGTTCCCGCACGGCCGAGGAAGCGGACGCGGGAAGCAGCCGAACGCGCCGAAAATGGTGGGAGGAACTGGGCCTACATGGTGTCTTGCAAGGTAGATGTATTCCTGAAACCCGAATGGTCGATAATGGTCGCGTGGTTTTTGCATGTTGCTTTTGGGCAAGGGTATGCTATTTACTTATCATCCTTATGCAACACTCATATCAACAAATTGATCAAGGTTATGGGAATCGGAATAAGGAACAATCCTTTCTGACACTCCCAGCACTTCCAGCACTCCTGGACTTCGGACCGGTCCCAAATCGAGGACTGCAGGACTCCGAAAACCCCAAACATGGATCAACATTGCACTTCTCAATCTCCAAATCATGGCCTCTATCCACATTTATCCACATCCTCATAAGGTACGTGAGCCGTCCAACCCTGTCCACAGCATCTCAATCCCATCCAAAGGAATTCCTTCATCACGAAAGTAAGCCCACAAACTTGGCGTGTGGACTCTTCTGGAGGTCTATGGATGATATTGCAGTATGTAGGAGTATGTGGGCATGCGTCGCATCTACCCTGCCCTGTGAAAAGGAAGAATATGACCGGACTCGCGCAACGACTGAAAGGATCTTGAACATCAATGCCGCAAACATGTTCCTTTGAGCGTGGCAAGCAAGGGAAAAGGAAACGAGCAGCATGCGAAGCTTGGCGGGACACACACACACACACATTGAAACTGAGGAGGGAAACTCCGGTGTCACGCTGCTGTTGCTCAGGGTCAGCAGACTTGGCTGGGTTGACAAGAGCACCTGCTCTTCTTTCGTGTTTTTTTGCGAGCCAGAAAAGTTTGACTGGAAAACAATGCGCTTTTTACTTGCGCCACTTGTCTCTCATGTGAGAATCACATCCCAAACCAGCCCACTTGGTGTGCTGCAATTGAAACCAACCTCGACCTGGCCCACTGGGTTCAGTCATGTACATCCCCGTGTCAGGACTCCAACGGCTCAGTCTTCGCAAGTGGTGGTTGGCGATTGGCCCAAAACAGTCTTGGGGCTTTGAGCCGTTCGAGATTATCTAAGGAAGGTATACTCTGCAAAGCAATGATTGGTTGATTCACGTGGTTTCTTTGCAAACACTGATCTGTTGGGCCATGAGAAGTTATGTGGATTTCACCGCCCTGTTTCCCTTGACACCTGTTGTGTGTGCGCGTATGGATGAACCACCACGTTTGGTGCAATTAAGGTGCCAAATCTGCAAAGATGGAGCCGTAGTACCAACCTCATCAAGCGTGACAAGCCAAATTGCCAAAGCACTTCGGATGTGATATATTATATATTATATATCATGTCAGCAGAAAGGGACCTCGGGAGCAAGACATGGGTTGATCATGTCATATGTCCCGTCAGTGTGATGTTGGAGAGTGAAGCACTCTCTGAGTTGATTCTCACAACTGGAAGGTTAGTTGATAGAACCATGTACAAGTGTGAATCTGGTACCCAAAAGAAGCTGAAACATTGCTATATACTATAAAAATATATATATATCTTTGTGTGTAGAGTATATCCCACCTAATGTTAGTTTTGTTGCTCGATCTCGATGTTTCTTATTCTTACGGGGAACAAACACCCGTTTCTCCAAGCTCAAGTTTGCTTTTTGGCTTTGCCCACCTCAAGTAAGGGGAGAAATACGACTGGCTTCATGTCATGTCTCCTCAGGTTTCACAATTGGATACACTTGGTCTAGTTCACCCAAGTTTTCTCTAGTATGTCGATGCAAATGGCGGCCAAGGCGCAAAAACATATCGATCATAGGCCGTAAGCACACCTGTCCGGTGCCAAAGTCAGGATCCTCCGTGATCGGAAAAAAGAGGTGCTCATTGAGAGGTACTGAAAGTTCTGTCCTAGTCGATTAGAGGCACATCTAAGAGTCACATCTATGGCCTATGGATTCTGTCAACAACAACAACAGCAGCAGCAGCAGCAACAGCAACAGCAACAGCAACAACAGCAGCAGCAACAACAACAACCACAGCAACAACAACAACAACCACAGCAACAGCAGCAGCAACAACAACCACAGCAACAGCAACAAGAACAACAACCACAGCAACAGCAACAACAACAACCACAGCAACAGCAACAACAACAACCACAGCAACAGCAGCAGCAACAACAACAACAACCACAGCAACAGCAACAAGAACAACAACCACAGCAACAGCAACAACAACAACCACAGCAACAGCAACAACAACAACCACAGCAGCAGCAACAACAACAACCACAGCAACAGCAACAAGAGCAACAATGTGTTTGCATCGCGCAACTCCAGCTTAGCAAAGGCCTTGGGATCGTGTAAAGAGGGAGCTGTGCGTTCTGTCTTTCACCCGGTGGTGTGTCACTATTCCTCTTGAAGTTATCATGATGCAGCTACACGGACTTCCATCAGCATGGCACATCAGCTTGTGCATTGGTGCCTCGCCGCCTCGTGCACCCCAAAAACGCATTGAACAAAGCAGCTGAATGTGCTGGGCTGACAAACATCGAGTCAGCCACTGGGCTGCAAAATCAGCCACGGACGCGCTGTTGAGTATTGCCGCTGTGCAAACATTCACTCTGAAGAAACACATGCATTGAACATCAAGCATCAAACAGGGACTTGTCAGTCTTGTCATGTTTTTAAGGTTTAGAAGAATCACCGCATTATAGTACGATATGATCAAATCCAAAAGCCAACATGTTGTCTTCTTGGAGTCAATACTGGGCACAATTATTTACCTTATATAAGCCATTGGACAGGGACAAATTCCAAGCTGCAGGCATAAATAACAAACACTTCATTATACTAGCTATTTCGGGGTGTTGGACATGGACTTCTGTCAACAATGAGCAGAATGGGATCGCATTCTGATTGCGCACACCGCACTTGTCAATGATATGGCAACAATCCAACACCCTGTTGCGTAAAGTGAACCTCAAAGAAAAAACATAGAACTTCACTTCCACTATGACTATAGATCCCTTTCTGTTCCAACTCAGGGCTCTGTTCCAAAACCCGTCGAAAAACTTGGAACTCTCCCACCGAACCGAACCGCGAACCGCTCCGTCGTCCCTCTGTCCAGTTCTGGGTCCCTCCGGCTCGTGGAGGCGTAGTCACGCTCCACCTTCTCCTCGACGGATCCGTCGAACGGTCAGACAGGCACCCCGTAGACGTGCACCCCAAAGACCAGGCACTAACAAGCCTTGCGCAAAGCATGGTCAATGCAGCATCCAATAGCCTTTGTTTCTTGGGTGGTACTGGTAGTTGGAAACTTCATCCGTAATGAGTTCACTTGGCTCATACCAGTTCACGACCGTTTGGACCGATCGATGTAACTTGACGTGGTGAGCCATATAGATGATGGATCCAGTTCTCAACAAAAGACCTAAGCTCGCAGTTGTTTCCTTTCAGGTCTGTCGGTGGTTTTTTGTCTAATAATGTGTCCAAAAATGCCCAAGCTATCTCAACATATGTTTTTGTTTTTAAATATCTATATTCATTGACACAAACATGTGGCATGCTCTGTATGTTCTAAACACAGAGCAATCCACACGTCATTGCTTTGATTGGTATATGTTTCCTTGTATACTTAACACTACACCAGCTCTCAATCGTTCGCTGAAGACACGTGCTGCTTTCATGCCTGTTCAGCTCAGAACGTCTCCAACAGCTCGGAACCTTCTCAGGTCAGTGCTTCCCTTCTTTACCTCTTTGCAGCCCACCATCCCTGAAAACATGAGGTGCCTTTCTTCCCTGAACTGCTGAATCTCTGTTGATCTCTTTCACTGTAAGTTCATAATAATGGATGAACATGGACTCCAACTACAAAGCTGGTATGAACCTGAATCCTTTCCACCGCCCAACCACGTCTTGCAAACGCCCAGTGGCCACGGCGTCGAATTCCCACATGGGCGGGCTCTTGATGGACTTCCGTGTTTCATCCTCGGTGATTGATCTATCCAGGGAAATCCGAGTAGGTACAGTAGATGGGGAGCATCGAAGGGTTCGAGCGTTTCAGGTGCTTGAAAGCAAACGACACATGGCCTGAACAGTGATCTGAAAGGGATCCCAAAATGACCCCCATCCATGGAAAACATTGATTCTGTTCTCTTTTAAACGAACCTTTGACCTTCCAACGCGACCATGGCCTAATGGCTGGACGCATAGGAACATGGTGACTTCCTGCAAGTGGATGGCCAACCTGGAAGTGTACGAACCCATGGCCAACATTTTGAGCTCCCAAAGATCGATCGACAACATCTGCTTTCTCTTTGAACAGGGCCCTTTGGCGGCCAAAGAGGAGGTGCGTCTAAGACGGGCAGCTGCAACGAACCTTCAGGAACGACAGCGTTCATCTTCGGCCTCCCGGCCACGGGGATTTCTTCGCCTGTGCCTGGTACGGTCCGTGGGCGGAAGGACTTGGTGCAAAGGTGTTTCGCTCCCCCGTTGGGTTCCGATGGATGTGGTGTTCAAGGTTTGCTACTGAAAGCCACTGGCTACGGGCAGCCTGATGGAAGACGCTGCTAGCATCTGCTAGCAAGACGCTGTCATAGATAACACTGATCAAAGGTGTCACACCTCAATGTCAACATAAAAGGAAGCTGTACTGACTCTATTGAAGGATATATCCGCCAAGTGGTATGGGTGTATGCAAAGCGAGTGCTGCTAGTGATATGGGTGTATGCTAAGCTCTTGTCACCGCCCTAATAAAATCAAGTCCGAACATATGTGTCTGTTCTAGTACTGTACATATATTTCTATAATATATATATACATATACTGTATACAATGCAAATGCATGTTTGTCCGGTGTATTTTCAAGTGTAGCGTCCATCAGGGCAAACTGATTGCTTCCGTCAGTCACGCCTAGGTCAAAGGTCTTCACAACCTGAGCGTGTTGCTTTGGCGGAAGAAAGGAGCCCCTGGCAGATCCAACAAGAATGTGAGATTTGCATGCGTCATGAGGTTAATTACATAAGTTATATATATATATATGCTGCCAGACCATTTTCTGGCTGCAGCTACTATACCAACTGATGCACCGGTTCTGGGGGTTCTGTGACGTCAGCATCTGCACAACGTTGTCCCGACTCTCTGAGGTGTCAGAAAAGAAGTACCAGCACCAGCTGCTTCCAACGGGTCACCCGTCTGGACAACCCAACCCTATCCTACCCTACTAGCCTAGGTCTCCAGACAGTGCCATTGGAAGTAGGAGCCCAACCAGCCAAGCGGAAACTGGGTTGGACCCAGGTCGTCGGAGTGAGTGGCCCCATATGCACCCACACACCTTCTGAACTGAGAGTCCCGGCATTGTCCATCAAAGACACGGCGATTTTGGAGTTGCCTTCTTCCACGATGGCCTTGGTCATCAGTGCCTTCTTGCACCCTCCTTGCTTCTACCGTTCTACCACTCTCGTTGCAACGACTCGCAAACCTCGGCTCACATTGATGCTGTCCCAGAATCCTCAGCTGAACCCATACCTTGGCGTCCCTGCCAGATCCATTGCTCCGATGCCTGCAGCCCAGCATGGCCCAACGGTTGACTTGAATGGAGCCGGCACGGCTTCAAAGCCCTCTCGACGGCCAGTGCTATTTCAAGGATGGGGAGAGCCTATTTCAGGTTCCTACACTGGACTGCGGATTCTTTCTTTTGTGGCTTTGGAGGGTCATAGTAAGTTCCCTGCTGCGGGTCTCCCATTCCGGGGAGAGAAAGGCGCAAAAGTTTTGGCAAATGTCAAGCGAATGTCAAGTAGATATAGATGATCCTGGTGATGATGTCCTCACCTTCTCTAAGTAAGGCCCTCGCAAAGCTGTGGGAAGCGGTGATGTTTCAAGGGCTCCAAAATCTTGACAGGGAGAAGACTGCCAAAACCCACGTTCTGCTTGCAATCCCCATCAAAGATATTTAGTGTAGACTCTACAACAATTAACAGCCATGCCTGGAGATGTAAAACCATTCTGGAGAGGGGAGGATTCTGACAGTGTCCAACAGCTAGTGGTTAGGATACTTCATGTAACTCCATACAGCTCCCTGTTTGGGAATCAGCGAAGTCACCAGCAAATTACATGCTCAGCAGGAATGGCCGAGCAGACCCGGCCGAGGATAAAGTGCAGAAACACGGACCTGGACCACTGTCCCCAGCGGGGGTCTAGGCCTTCGTCCCTGAACACAACATGGAACCTACTCTACATTACTCTACCCCAAACACTCCATATAGGACTGCCATATTTGCCCACATTAGTAAGGGTGGTTTGGGGGTCAATGAAGGCACCTATTCCAGTGACATGGAGTGGTCTGGGCTTCTACCGTTCCGTCGCCGACGAATCGGTCCGCCGGTCCCTCGGTCCATCCGCTCCTGTCTCCGTGGCCATGCGCGAGGCAGACGTGCTCTTCGCCGAGCGGGCGGAGCCTTTTGAGGACCGAGCCGACAGCGACCGGCGAGTGGTTTGGGGTGCCGAAGAAGGCCAGGGCGAGGCGACCAAACGGGGCGATAACAACCGGGGTGGGGGTGGTGATAGATGATGTCCAATGCGAAGGGGTCTGCAGATCTCTGTAGTGGTAGAGGATATCTCTATGTACCTAGCACTCAGGCGACCTTTGTTTTCAGAGGTCACTCTCAATTCATGGACCTGGCACCAGAAAACCTGGCTTTTGGATGTCAGGGGCGTATTTTTCCAAAGGACCATTTTTTCTGGTTCAAGTGATATGGAGCCTTTGATTCAAGAACATGCTGATGCTGGTTGGCCAATGATGGGCCTATATGATGGTTCCATTGCTGTGAAAAAAACATGTTGAGGCTGATGGGCCCATGATAGGACTGCACCTTCATCCCTGTGGAGCCATTCATGGCACATGTTTCTGAGTTTTTTAATGTCTTCCTTCCAAAGAATTCCATGGCTACCCCTTGCCCAGCGGATCTCAGTGATCTTTTCGCTCGGCTGGCATGGTGGCGGTGATCTTCCACGCAAGGTGCTCGGCCTCAGACCGCAAATGTTCTCGAGAAGGGGTGAACATGAAGGTATCACTGTATCACTCAAGATGGTATTGGATGCAAGCTCATCTTACTTTTGGAAAACATCGAGTGCACAATTGGTAAACAATGCTTGGACGGAGAACATGTTCCATACATGTCCACAAAAAACGCCACAACCTATCCAACAAAGAAAATTTTGGCTCAAGTGTTTGGGACTGACCTTGAAGTTATGAATGCACCAGGGATGCCTAGCCTGTCTGGTGTAGCTGCGGAGTGGGAGGCCTGTGAAACAATCAGGAACCGGCTTCGCAAGCACAAACGCATCTTGGATAAAGATGCTTGGGCTGATGATATCAAGGTGGATGTAAAGGGTGGGGAGATGAACTATGAAGTGTTGAGGCCTCTAGTGAAACGCCTGCTTGACAAGAAGGAAATGGTTGGGATGCATACACTTCCAGCAATCCTTGCCCAGTCACTTGCTTGTTTTTATTTTTTTAATACTTTCAGCTGTGGTACTGGGTAGTTTGCTATTTAGTGTTTTTATCTTTTAACTTTAAGTTGAAAACACTAGTAATTCTCTTGAATTCAAACATTTGCCAGCCAAGTAAGGCTGAAAAAGCTGTATGGACTGATGGAGGTGCCTTTGCCCGCCACCAAAGACATCAGGAAAGATGCAAAGGTCCTCAAACAATTCTGTGTCTTGGTGAAAAGAAAGTTGCAACGGGAGCAGCTTTGTAGATCACTCAACTTCAGGAAGTTGATGGCGCTAGTGTTCGACCCTGATGAAAAGGACCGCAGCCTGTCTTGCACCATGTTTTCCAAACAAACACTTTTTGGGGAAGCCCCATGATGTCCCATACCCAATGATCCCTACAACACCTGGCCAGTTTTTCCAGGACCCAGTGTTTTCCAGCGTGGACAACGGCCTAGACCTAGTCTGGGCAGAAGATGAAGAAGAGGAGAACTTGTGCGAGTCAGGTGATGAAGAAAATGAAGAGGAAGAAGTTGATGATGAATTGGAGGGTGACACTGGAGCAGGTGGTGAAAACGGGGAGAGGGACGAAGGAGAAGAGAAAGAAGGGGAGGATGAAGTAGAGGGTAGGGTGAGTGGTGAAGCCAAACAGGTGTCGTTCCCCGATTCCCAGCCTATCTTTGAAGAAGAGCTATTTGGATCTGAACCAGAGCTATTGGCAAACCACAGCCAAGCCGAAGTCATTGACCTTCTTGAGAGTCCTGGAAAATGTGATGGTGAAGAAGGGTGTGGCCACGAAAAGGAACCTTCCAGCTCTTCTTTGGCAAGGTCTGGTACTCAAGAAGTGTTGGAGGATGAGGCTGTGAAGGAGGCTAGGCTCCAAGCGCTCAGGGACAAACTGGCCTCGATGAAGAAAGAAGTGACGTCGTTGATTTTTGGATGACATAGCAATCTTTATGATGTATGTTTTGATTTCCTGGAGCTATCCTGCTTAGTCTAGGGAAACCATGGGAAACCTGCCAGGGTCCAACTTTGAATATGTTCTTGCCTTTCTCCTGCAATCAACCTAAGGAAGGCCAAGGGGTCATTTGAGGCCCCACTTGTGGTTCTTGAAAGCCAACCATTTGGGCACGATGATGTCGAGACCCAAGTGCACCCACTTATGGAGGATTTGGCGAAGGCCTACTCGGTAGAAGAGCCTTTGAAAGGTTTTGTCGAGCTCCCCAATGCACCAACAGCAGCTTTGACTTAAGACTTAAGTGACCATGTTGTTTTCTTTTGTGGTTGCTTCTTTTGCACATCACAAGCCCCTCCAATTTTGTGCCCACTGGTTTGACCTATCAGGTATTACGCCGACAGCAAATCCAGCTCAAACAAGATGCAGAGGCAGAACATGAAGAAAAAAACAGCAAATCCAAGAAGGGAAGAGGCAAAGGAAAAGGAAAGAAGGCTAAAACTCAAGAGACGTCCAAGGCTGAAAAGAAGGATTGCAAAGGTCAAGGCGACGATGACCAAGAGAAGATTGATGGAGAGGAGGATGAACAAGATTTGTCTGATGATGACGATGATGAACACCAAAAAAGCAAGAGTAAAGAAGAACATGTTAAGACCCAGCTAGCGCAGCCCAAGGAGGAGAAGCCGGAGATTGAGGATGAAAAGCACAACAAATCCAAAGCTGCGGAGAGGAAAGAAAGAGCACAAGAGGCTAAGGGCAAGGCAGAAAAGATGCAACCTGGGGCCGCAGATGAAGAATGGACTGCAAAGTCAAGAAAGAAGACACATGACGCTGAAGAGAAGGTAGATGAAGAGAAGATAGATGAAGAGAAGGTAGATGAAGAGGTGGTATATGAAGAGAAGGTTGAGGAAGAGGTGGTCGATGAAGAGAAGGTTGAGAAGGTTGAGGAAGAGGTGGTCGATGAAGAGAAGGTTGAGGAAAGCAAAGCCTGTGCAAAGGACTTGAAGAAAAAACGAAAACAAAAACTGTCTGGTGAAGAAAGCCGGGTTGAGAAGAAGGAAGAACCAGAGCAGATCATGAAGAATGAAGGTGATGATGAACATGCCAAAGAAGGAGATGATGAAGACGAACACGATGACAGTCCTGAAGTGTCCAAGCGGAAGGAAGAGAGCATTGCACCAAGCGGATGTTCACTAGAAAAACCAAAGAGGAGTAACAAGAGGCGAGGCAAAAAGCAAGGGCAAGGTGATGAACCAGAAGAGGCTGTAGCACAGGAAGGTGCGAAGAGGCAACGCAAGCAAACAAAAGAGGAGGAAGGTGAAGCAAGAAAGTCTCAGAAGAGGAAAAGCGAATCCAAGGCTCCAAAGAACATGGATGATCAAGATGCGAAAGAAGAAAAGGGCAAGGAAAACGGCAAGAGTGCTCAGGGAAAGGAGAAAAAGGGCAAGAGAGCGAAGGGAAAGGAGGAAAAGGAACCAGTTGAGGAGGAAAAGGAGGAACTTGAAGAAGAGAAGGAGAAGAAAGGTCCACAAGCAAAGCCAAAGGCCAAGAGCCGGGCAAGAAGGGGAAAAGCAGATCCACAGGATGAGGTGAAGGATGCTACCATGGGCACGGGTCAGGGAACCACATCTCCAGCAGCACCAAAAAGAAGCTCAAGGAAAAGAAAAGCGGACAAAGAAGAAGAACAAGAAGTGAGGAAAGAGGAGCCAAAGAAGGTGACAGGTGATGCCAAGGCCCAAGGTGCAGGTGAGGAAAGGAAGACTGAGGGTCAGACCGGAGAAACTGAGGAGGGAAGCAACAAAAGGCAAAAGACCTTTGCTCGACGGAAGTGTCCTACAACTTCGTTTGGCAAGATGAAGTGGACTATTTTGCGTGAAGTGTTTGAAAGCAAAATCAAGTCCTATCTGACATCGTACAGCAAACACGAGGAAACCACGAAAACACATTGTTTTAAGGGCATGAAATGAAAAGGTGTAGGATTCTTTCAACAACCCGCCTCCTTTGGGAACTCCAGGTGCCAAAACAATTCTTTTAGACCAGGTCATTGGGTCCCTTAAACACACTGCAAATGTTTCTTGACTGAGACTACTGTAAACAGAATCTGCAAAAATAGTTGTTGTGGATGAAATGATGAACAAGTTACAATGATATGAGTCATGATTGCACCCACCAGCTGACTCTCGCAGGACAGTTTCTGGTCATTTGCTACTCAGTGCTGGGCTGACTTGAAGGTAGAAGTCGGAGCCCACAACATCAGCGACCTCGCGCTCACAGCAGCGAAGAAGTATCTGAAGGAACGCATCGAGATGAACGGTCAGTAGGTTTCACCGCTACCTGCCATAGTTTCCCATCTCTCCTATCGTTGAAGCTGGAACAGCTCATGTTCTTGATCAACCTGGTTTGCTTGGTGCATCCTAGGAAAAACTGATTGACATAGCTTGACTAGAAGATTGTGATGTAGTGTTCATAATTGAATCAAAATTGTTATTATATGTTGCTCCATATCTTCCGTTTCCAGCGTGGTTGCTTTTGGAGGGATGGCGCACAGGCTTACAAATTAGTTCAATCACATATTGATTGCAAACTGGTGTTTCTTAGACACCCAATGCCTTGCCAGCAAGGTTGGTGTGTGCTAGTTGCAGTTCTGGGCTGGAGGGGCGTCGAAGTGTGCCAACCTTTGTAACTCCGAGTTCCAACTGGTAGCGAATGTCAAGTCCATGTGGCAGGCTTTGATCCAGCACAGATCTCAAACCTCGCACCCTCCTAGTTCAAAAAGGTGAGTCACTGCGATAAGCAAGAGTAAGGTGAAATTGGTAGAACTATAGTCATAATCTAATAGAACATCACAAAACGATGAACTTCTGCTGTGGCCTGTATGACTTTGATCCGCCATTCGTGGTTCCTGAGCCCTCCATAACTCTCCCACAGTGTTCTTGTTTGGGTCAGATCTAGTCGGCCTTCAGGTGCTGGTCCACATGTCGCGGGGGACCAAGCGGCCGTGCCCAAATGCGGACACAGAAAGTCCACCTGCCTACTTCAAGGGTTCAGCTGTGAATTGGGCATTTGAGAGATTATTTTTGAACATGAGAGGGACTAGTTTCCTCACCATGTGATCATATGATTCAGTGTCTTAGCATTCTTTTGCATCCTTAAGTTTGCTTCAGAGCATTTGTTGGACCCGCGGAGAAGCATTTTGCCCAAACCAAACCGTGAGCTAGCTTCTTGTTGGGTCAATGGACCCTGACAAAGACAACATGTTGGATGTTGTCATTCGCCGGCTCTATCTGATGGGAGCACCGAAGGCATGGTCTTCCTAAATTTACCTATCAGACCCTTTCTCACAGAATGAAAGGATAGCCCTTTATCTTTTGGGTGGATTGAGTTGACAAGCCTGCACTTGCAGGTGTTAATGGGCATCGTGGTCCTCCTGGCACTGAATCCTGACATCCAAGTATTCAGTCAGGCCAGGCTGCAGTGGGAAAACTCAAGCGCAATGTTGAAGGGGATGATTGCAGGTCCTGAGGTTGAACAGACTTAGAAACCGGTGCATGAACTTTGCATTTCTAGAGTCTAGAGCTTTATTTTAGTCGTCAAGCAAACAAATCCAAAACATGCTGTGCTTTGAGCAGGCCTATGGTTTCTTGGAATTCTTCTCTGGAAGAGGATGGGTATCGTACATGATGAGGGCGAACTCAATCCCCACTGCCTCTTTTGATGTTCTCTATGACACAAAGAATCCAAACAAAGAAAACTACATGGACTTGCTCACAGACTCAGGTCTTGCGTTACTGTTCTTCATTTCAATCGGATTATTTGGAAACATTCGAAACATATTGTTCTTTCCCACACAGCTGCCCTTTGATTGAAATCCGGTGCCCATGCAAAGCTCAGGCTTGCTATACTATCGGTGCTGAATTGCAAGGTCGATGCCTTCCTGGTGGTATTTGGGTTGGTATGCAAGTCATTTGTGACGATTTCTGCGGGCACGCACAAAAGATGCCCTTGGATGCCATTAGGTGATTCCACAGTGACCATGGTTCATCAAGGCAATCAGTTTGTAGCTAGGAGCCTTGGTTTGACAAAGGCCATTTGGGTTTTGGGATATGACACCAAAGGGTGGCTGTGTTTCAGTACTATGCATCTCGAAACCTATTCCATGTATAGTTGATGATAGGGGGAGTGCATACACGCCGCTAGGACCTCGCCAAGTCTTGGTAAGTTTTGGGGGGAAGCTGATGGGTCCCATTTCCATAAACCTATCCTCATCACATGCTAAGGGTCGCTATATTGATCATGGTGATCAGTGCCATGAATGGTGCCTGGATCATTGAACAGCCCCGATCGAGCCAGTTGCCTTTCCATCCACGAATCCGTGAACTGTGGCGGAAATTGCACAAGGTGCCTACATGTCATAGTAAGGGTTCCTCACCTCTTATACATGCCCCTGTACATGCATGTTGATCTGATACTCTATGCAGCCCCACCTGTCCAGGTGTATGGTGCATCATGGTGGATGGCTCTATACGGATCTCCAACACCAAAAAGACACATTGCATGGAGTAATGCTGCCACGGTGCATTGTTTGGATCTTGGCATCCTCCGCAAGTTTGTTCGGCAGAAGCTTTCCAAGGGCTCCTGCAAGAGCGCAAAAACCTACACCAATCCAAACGGTAAAAAATCTTTTGCTGGAACAAGCCTATTGAAGCACACACAGCAACTCGACCTTTCAAGACTCACTTTGAGCAGGTAGTGCAGTATGCCTGTTGTTTAAATGGGGACCAAGATCGGTCTTCGCTCCAGCCCAGGACCTATCCTCCGAGATTTGGACAACGTGTCTCTGCGCTTTATGAGCGCTTCTGCACGAAGCGTGAAGCGTACCCTCCTGAGTGGGATTCTGATACGATGAATATCTTGAAAGCTAAAGAGGTTTTTGCAATGGTTTCCTGGGAGTCAGATGATCTCTGGGAAGACGCTGGTTTGAAAGATGTCTTCTGTTACTTGAGAGGCTCAAAGAGCCTAGTGCTTGGGGATTGGCGACCATATTTCCCAACCACCATATAGTAGAGTCTCTGTGGCTTCAAAGCATTACACTGGTAACATGTTAACATCAACATTCCCCGAAACAATTGGGCACCCTTCCCCATCAGTGCAAAGAAAAGGCGTTTGAGGGACTTCTAGCTGGGCAAACCCAAACATCAACCCGGCTCACTGGGGTTGGGAGAAGGATCGCCCAAGGTTTTGTTGGACGTGCTCCAGTGCGCTCGCAGGAAAACAAAGAGGGACTCTTTCATCCTGAGCCCTCTTGCCATCATGTGGGTCTTTCTGGTTGGTCTATTGTCCAAACGGACTTGTTTAACCTTAAATGAAGACAGGTCAAGCGGTTCAAGTGACATCATTGGAAACTTACTGGGTTATATGTTGCATTCATGTTGATTATGTTAGATTTTTTAAAAAAATCTAGAAAAACATGAATTACATACATATTACGTAGAATTTATGTAAAAAGTACGTATCACCAGTACTACCCGTAAAAGGGGCGTATTTTTGCGTTAAAGGGGCGTAAAAATGCGTAGCAAATTACGTAATATAGGCGTAATCTGCCCGTAATGGAAGATAAGCAAAACATGAGGTTTTTTATCGTTCTAAGATGCTTTTCAGCGGTGATTTGGGGTGAGCTATTCATGCTATGAACAGAACTTCAGCAAATCGGTTGTTCTTGTCTTTGATTGTGATGAATCGTGCCAAACCATTGTTGATTCCAATGAGTTCTAGGGGAATCTTCACATCTTTACTTGTGAAAGGTTGTGGGAGTAATGACATGTGAGATTTTGTGTGCCAACTTCATCTCCCAAAGTTCAAACATGTTCCGACTTCAGCCAGTCCTGACTCGAGTGTCTCCTTTTGTAGCTTCCACCTGACATGCCGGATACCCGTCCAAAACGGGAAGTCAAACCTGTCCAATCTAGACAATGGAGCTGCTCTGCCCTGGTTGAAGGGCACAAGGGCTTGATTCGTGCAAAGAAAGAAAAAGACTCAGAAGAGGATATGAAGCAGAAGATCAAGGAACAGAACCAATTCTTCTACGGTTTATGTTTGGGAGTTTGAGGTTATATATGTGGTATGCCGGTCCCTCCAATTCGAACCCCCCACCAGGAATATGAGAAGGAAATCGAAAGGTTGAAGAACCGGGGTGACACAGGTTGCACTTCAGCTGCTTCTTGTCCTGTCCATCAGTTTCTTCTCTGAGGGATTCAAAAGGTGGTCTGTGTTCATACTCGATTCCATTGTTATGCGAGCCTTTTCAAGTTTGAGTAGTCCACACCTCAACCAAGGCTGATGAAGAAACTGTTGAGGCTCTTCTGCTGCATGTTCTCTGCACATTGCATCTAGATTGTTTGTTTTTTACATACTACTACTCATGTGCACCAGGATTCTAAAACCCTTGGGGAAACTTCTTGGAGCTGACAGTGTTTTTTTTTGGAACTATAGGCAACACCTTCTGAGATCGAGAAGAGCAAGTCAAAGCCCAGTTCAAGAAGGAGCGTCGCAACACCAGCTCGTGGAAGACCAAAAGAGCCCGTCTCTGCCCCCAGTGCTCCAGAGACTGATCAGCCTTCTGGAAATCCCGCTCAGCGTAAGCGAATGAAGAGCAAGCAGCCAGACCCTGACAAAGACAGGGTCATTGATGAACTTCGGAAGGCCTACCCGTCCTTCATGTTAGTCTTGTAACAGTAAGTGGCGATACAATAAACATGTTATGTGTTGTCTTTTTTTGCCTGGGCTAGGCAGGAACGAAGATGAGGTTGGAAATGGAACAGCTCAGAAAGGAGATGGCACAGAGTCGTAAGTCTAGCTCGTCCAAGGGTGATGTGCCTACGGTGGCCCCCAAAACGGCTGCCAAGTCGAAGCCAAAGGCCAAACCCAAGGCAAAGTCTTCCCACCCCTCCCCGGATGAGGATGAGGATGAACCAGTTTCCAGTGATGAGGGTGGTTCAGGTAAGAAGGATCCTAAGGCGCCACCAGACAACAAGGCGGCACGGCATGCCCGCTTGCGGAGGTGTTGCGAGCGCAAGCCTAGTGGCAAGATCTATGTACCAGTTGAGGTTCATGAAAAGTGGAAGAATGCGTCACTAAAGGAGCGTGATCAAATGGTTGCAGAGTTGGAAGCTGCAAACTGGAATAAGGAGACTGTTTTGTGCATATGTTCCAGCATTCCTGCATGTGGATCTACATTTCACCTGTTGTATGCATGTTACAGGATATCTTTGTGACGCGAATCACCAAGATCCAACAGAAGAGCTCTAAGCAATCCCGTAAGAAGCGCAAGGGCTGGTTCACGGAGGAACAAATGAAGACCACCCTCAAATGGAGCAAGCCCCTCTGTTGTGATTTATAAATGTATAGTTCTTGGTATCTATGTCCGTTTGCGATCACAAAAGCCCTTACCCAGCGACATCCCTGTCATCCCAGGCAGTACATCAAGAAAGTCATTGCCTTCTGTGAGAAGAAGGGCTTGGTGAAGATGCTTGCCTGCGAGCTTTGCACATGGCCGTGGCAAACCCAAGAAGCAGTTGAGTAGCTATGTGCTTCCAACATGTGTCCAATGGTATTTGCCTAATTGCAGTGTCATAAGTAAAACAGAATAGAAAAGAACAGAAAAGGCAATTCGCTCTTCACAGAAAAACATCTCTTTCAATCCTCTTGAGTTGAACTTCCTAGGAAGGATCGGTATGATAAGAAGATTTTGAAATACTATGTGGTCTACGAGGAGAACGACACTGATGTCTCTGAACATGAAGAGACCGAGCGAAAGGAGCAGGACGTTGTGGCGCCTCGTTATCCATGTAGCCAAATGCATGCCGCACCCAGGCTTCACATAGTAGGCCAGCAACCACCATATGTCACCTGAGGTGGATGATGATCTGGAGCTTGGCAGGCTTGGGAAATCCAAGTCTTCTGCCCCAGCGATGCCGGACTCGGATGAAGAGGATCTTGATGGGGACGAAAAGGATGCTGAGTTGGCCAATGGTGCTAAGCAGGTCTGGTACATGCCTACATGAACTTTAAGTTCTGAATTCACCATTCTGTCTTTCCAAGTCTGCTGTTAGTTTTCCCTGGAGGCACTTGACGATTTCAAGAAATATTTGGATTCCCTCCTGACCAAATCTTCCAAACTCACGGACTTGATGGGGGACCTTGAGCATGTGTTCACAGAGACGGGCAAAGATGATGGAAGCAGTGAGGGAAAAAGGGTTCGCCAGCCCCAAACTCAGAACAATAAACCAACCTAACGGACCAACCTATACTACCCAAGATTGCTGGATGAATGATCCCCTGGTGTTTGGCCAACTCAAATTTCAATGTTCCACTCTCATAAGGTGTGTCAAGAACTTAGAGAACTCGGTCGTCATCCTGGACGATGAGTATGAGCAGTGTGAGAAAGTCAGGGCGGAGCTTGCCAAGTTTAAGAACGCTGCACATAACTCTGCAGAGGACAAGGAGTTTCTTGCTCGCAAAACCTGTTTGTGTGATATTGTTTATGCGGGCTTGGGCTTCAACATTGAGTGCATGTATGGGGGCATGACTGAGGCTACGCACAAAGATCGATGCCCAGATGCAAAAAACCACTTCAAAGCACCTTGCCAATGATTCCAGTTTTTTTGGTCATATGAGTGTTGGTAACCATTTACCTATAGAGAGGAAGGGGTGCAACTCTGAGATGTACTCTTGGTTGAATGCTCAATCATCATTTGCTGCTTCGAAGGTGCTCAAGGGTCACCACGAGCGAGAATGCAGCAAGGAGACTGGCATGCACAAAGTGTGCAAAACATGGAACCCAAATTTTTGAACATCCGCACCATGCAAAAGCCCAAGTTGCCAATCCAAGGACAACCCTCAAGATCTTGAAAAAGCACCTGGCGGCCAAGGAAGAGTCGTGACTGAACTCTTCGAACTCCTCTGGGGATGTAGGGTTGGGAAGTGGAACATGTGTTCCCACACGTGAAATCCTTCCCTTGGCAACCCAAAAACGTTGCCTACGTTGTCTAAGCCTTTTTGGTGGCAGTGCAGTCTAGGGGAATAGATTGCCACACTTTGGCAGCTGACATGAGAAAAAAGGGGCATGTCTTGCTGTGCACCTACTGCTGTTAGCAAATGATTGTCATGATTCGATTGGGCATGTGCAGCCCAATCAGGCCAAGACTATTTGCCTGATGAACATGCCAGGTGCACACATCAATCTTCTTCGCCACTACGCACGCCTTGTAGCTGATGGTGCCTGGAGCCCTGGTTCTCCTGGGGCCAGTTTGTGGAGAGCATGCGACTCACAAATGAATGTTGCAAGTTGATCTGTGACTTGCTGCCTCGTCTTTGTAACATACCAGTCTCAACATATACAGGATCACGATGCAGTTCCAGAATGAGGTGTTGGAACACATTTGTTTGCCCTTATCTATTTCTCACCTGTGACACAGGTCAAAGCATTTACTCACTCTAGATTCCTTTAACTTTAGCACATTGCAGCTATGGATACGGATGACTTCTTGATGGACCTTCTCACTTATGAATGCCCTGTCACCGGTATCAAACGCACTGCTGGGGTATCAGAGCTTGGAGGTCAACAACCTGAAGAGAAGCAACCTTCCTGCAACACTCTGCTTGTTGCAACATGATATGTGCAAACATTGGCTGGTTTGTTCATCTTTTTGGGGGGCTCAACTGAGGAAAATCAAGGTTGTGCCAGGACCTTGTCGGCCTCCGGCCACACCACAACGCGTGAGCATTGAAGACAACAACCCTGAGGAAGAGTTTGCAGACTACTTTGATCGAGGTTCTTCTTTGTTAGACAACCCAGCTCCTCCTTCAAGTCGACCAACAGTAGCGGCGAAGCGGCATGGTACACACACAGAGTTGCAGTGCAATCAAGTGAATGTTAACACATGTTTGACTTGCCTCCCAATTCTTCTACAAAAACATGCCAAACATTGTCAAACCCATTGTGGCAATGGTTGTGTATAATCAACGTATCCAAGGACGCCACTCCATCATTGGTTGATCTTGGG